ACTAAGGTGAGCCTCTTTATGAGCTGAGTCTTTGCGAGAGAACCTAACGTGCGATTGGGCAGACCATGAGAAACAGTGATGCCTCGAGCTTCGAGGTTTCATCCTCGCCGCGCCTCTTCTGGCAGGGCCGTGAATCGGGCTCGCCTTTCCAAAGGAGTTCCGAGAACCAGGTCCCGTATGACCCGGACTCACCGTATTCGCCATCAAAGCGCCCATCTCTGGAGAATCTCAAGCGCGCATCTCGAGTGAAGAACAGCAACATGCTGCGTGAACGTAACCAAGAGTACGATCCAGCTAGTGTATATGTTCCACAAAGACCATTGGCGATGGGTAGACCGCCACAGAAACAGTCTCAAAGCAACTCGACCCCTCAGCAGCCTCAAAATCGCGATGACCGCCAGATAGGACCCAGACCTCCATCACCAAGCAAAGACCAGGTATCTCCAGCCAAATCCTCCTTGTCTCGTGCGAGTCGGTTTGGTGTCAAAGGAACCGGCTTCGATCCTGAGTGCGAAATCTGGTCCGATTACGACAGCATTGGTAACCGATACCCTAAAAGCGTGACCTTCGATGCTGCTCCTCCTCAGGTGAATGAGTATGAGATGACTACTCCAGACCCGTCGTCAATCGCCTCGGAGTCTCGCGACGGAAGCTATGACTCTGAAGAGGATGAGGGTGACATCAGTTTCGACCGGGAGTCCTCACTCGACCGCGACGATAGCTTCGATGCCTCTTTGGAGGACCTTGAAAAAACCCCCGTTGTACTACCCGAGGATTGGCGCTATATGAGCCCTTCCACCGCAAACGACGAGCTGGTGAAAGAGGATGACGACCCATTTACTGAGGACGAGGAATCCCAGAGTCCCGGTCCCACGACTCCCTCTCAGCAAAACTTGCCTCTCCAGCATTCTCGTGTTGAGTCATTGGATTCGAACGGAGAACGTCGTCCTTTGCCTCCCCTACCTGGCGCGAGTCGGCAACCTGTCACTCCTCGCGCTTCCTCTCCTGGGAAATTGGCAGCAGCGTTCGAGCTAGGAAGCGGTGGTAAAAGAGTTCTCCCCTCGCCCCCCGCTCCTGCATCATGTACGAAGTCGGACATCAGTGAACTGAGCCGTGCGTCCATGTCATTGGAGGACAGACTGCGTTTGATGATGATCCGCAAGGACGAACGGGCCAAGCAGGAGCAGGAGCCGGAGCCGGAGCAGGAGCACGCTACTGACGAGCAAGAACATGCCAAGCCATCCGAGGGGGGCGAACATGCCAAGGGGGACCAGTACAAGGATGAGTCCAAGGACGTGGAGGAGCATGACACCAATGGCATCGACATTCCTATGCCTCGAATCTCCAGGGACTCCATCTTGAAAGACCTGCGCAGAAGCGATAGCTTCCTGGACGACCCATATGATGAGGACGAGTCTCAAATCGCATCCAGTCCGCACGACTACATGAATTATGATCCAGACGTTCCCATTCCATCGCTTGAGAACCATAATGACGTTGACGACGATTATGAAGACTCGGACTCTGACAACGTGGTGATCAAACCCGAAGAGCTCGACGATGACCTCTACGACGTACCCGAATACTATGAACCTGTTCCGTCCCTGAACTCCTCCCTCAAGGATTTGAAAGACAAACCTGCTACTGACGATGACTACTCCTCTCAGCTACCTAAAGAAAATGCCAAACACCAAAAGCGCGAGTCCCAGGGATCCAACGATAGCCAGGCAACTCCCGTGCCCCCGGAAAGATTCGAGGAGGCAGTAGATGGCCCCGATAACTCTGGCAACCAAGAGCTCCCGGCTCCGAAGATGTCAACAATCACGGAGTCCTTACGACGCCCGATGACCCCGGAGATGAATGAGCCCGTTTCTGAGCCATGTACCCCCGACTCAGTGATCCGCCACCCGATTGGCGAAGAGGACGATGACTCTCAGTCTTCTTCCGATGAAAGCGTACCGGACCCCATTGCGACTGTCAAAGCACCAAACGGACTCAAGACACGCCCTTCCCTCACACCAGCGGATGTAGATTCGATGGCGGCGGTCCGTCGTAAGGTCAGCGGACAGCAGCCCCCGCCCTTGCCTCACCTGCGCAAGCAAAATTCCCACGAATCTGACCACTCATCCCCCGACGACTCCGCGTCAGAGTCCGGGGATCAGTCCACTCACTTGACGGCCTCTACCACGCCCAGCAAGGACCTCACGCAGCGGCAAAGCAGTTTTGTTAAGCTGGATATCCCATTGAGCATACAAGAAGAGAGCCTTGGCATGGGTCTAGACAAGGAATTTGACCGAGTCATTGAATCCCAAAAGGTTGCGTTTGAAAAGTCCCTAGCCCAGTTGTTTGCTTCCGCACGCACTACCTCTACCCCGGATTCCCATAATCCCCAGGACCCAAGGAACCCTTTTGTTGCCCCTCGAGCACCAGCTGACACACAATTTCCCAAACAGAGAGGTTATCTCATGAGGCATAACACCAAGGTTGTCATTGCCAGCAATCGCAATGATGACGAACCAGCGCCTACACCTGGAGAAACCTCGACCGATACGCGTACAGTGAGATCCCCAGCTCCCTCACCGCGAAAAGCAAGCCAACAGACATGGACAACCGTGCCCTGGAATGGACAACCTCGCCGTCCGAGCATGAGAATGTCTGGTGGTATCCCCAAGAAGAAGCCGGTTGCAGGCCCCGTGCCACCCCTTCCAGGTCAACAGAGCAATGTCCAGGAATCCATCGCACCAATTGAGGAGAATGAACCAACCTTGGATGGTGCTTTGGACGATGGTGAGGAACGCGGTCGCCTGTTTGTCAAGGTCATCGGTATGAAATACCTCGACCTGCCACTTCCCAAGGGTGAGTATCCATTCGCCTGTCTCCCAACCCCCGCTTCTACGTGTGACAAGCCGACTCTAACTGCAGGACTAGGCGAGCGATCGTACTTTGCTCTTACACTGGACAATGGCCTTCATTGCGTCACCACTGCTTGGCTGGAGCTAGGGAAAACAGCTCCGATCGGACAGGAATTCGAGCTCATTGTACAAAATGACCTCGAATTCCAGCTGACACTTCAAATGAAGGTCGACGATGCTAAATTCAGAGTTCAGGAACCCGCTCCCCCTGCATCGCCCGCGAGGCAGAAGGCATCCACTTTCAGCAGGGTTTTCGCGTCACCACGCAAGCGCAAGGAAATGGAGATGAAACAGCAACTTGCCTCCCAGCAACAAAAGAGCAAGGACGTAAATGCCGGCGTCTGGGAGAGACTGAAGACTCTTATTGCTCGCGACGGCAGCTTTGGACGGGCCTACGTTGCGCTCAGCGATCATGAGAAGTACGCCTTCGGTCGGCCGTACACTGTCGATGTGGCTTGCTTCAACGAATGGGCGGTCGACGAGCAACCAAGCAGCGTGAAGAGCAAAAAGAGCACGTCTAGTGCGGCCTCCCAACGACGCCCTCCATACAAGATTGGCAAACTGGAATTGCAGCTACTGTTCGTCCCTAAGCCCAAGGGCGGAAAGGATGAGGACATGCCAAAGAGCATGAATGCATGCATCCGCGAGATGCGCGAGGCGGAGGCTGCTTCAGCCCGCAGCTGGGAAGGATTCCTTTCTCAGCAAGGAGGTGATTGCCCGGTAAGTTTTCCACGCCGACCGGCTTTGCATTGATTCTGTACTTATGTGCGATGTTTTCGACAGTACTGGCGTCGCCGTTTCTTCAAGCTTCAAGGCTCCAAGTTGACGGCTTACCATGAAACCACCCGCCAACCCCGTGCCACGATCAACCTGTCGAAGGCTGTTAAGTTGATCGACGACAGGTCATCTCTCATCCAGAAAGAGACGACCACAAAAGGTGGTGGGCGACGCAAGTCTGCGTTCGCCGAGGAGGAAGAAGGCTACATGTTCGTGGAAGAAGGGTTCCGTATCCGCTTTGGAAACGGCGAAGTGATCGATTTTTATGCCGACAGCGCAGCGGACAAGGAGGGATGGATGAAGGTCCTGGCTGATAGTGTCGGCAAGGGCAACTCCTCTGGAAGTAGTCAAATCAAGCCTTGGACTGAATTGGTCCTCAAGCGCGAACGAAGCATGAAGTCCAGAAGAGAGACAATTGATCGATTCTCCACTCATGGACCTCCTCCGCCAGTGAGAAAAGATGTCGCTTCCGCTGCGGGACTGACGGCGCCGGCGCCGGCATCACCACGACCAGGGCATAAACACACGCAGTCTCAGCCCGAGATCCGCAGTGCGGACGTTCGGCGCCAGAAGGCCCGTTCGCTGATGTTCTAAATACATATCGACACCAGATGATTTTCCATTTCTCGCTGCGGCTCTTGGTACGGTTTCCGCTTGATAATCTCTCTGAAGCAATTTGTCCTTTTGTCTATTTTTGAGTAACTTGATCATTGCACATGCCTTTTCCTTTCTCTTTCACTTTTCCTTTTTGCCGTTTTGACTTGCACTGATCGAATCATCGGTGCCGGTGTACAACTTCGCCATTTCTCTTTCGTTAGGAATTCCCTGGTCGTGTCACTTCTTCTACTCTCGGCTCATGGGGTTTGACATCAAAGCATTCCGTACTGAGGATTCCGTTGCGAGCTCTTCCATGTTTCATTCTGCCCTAAATTAATGACACATAGCGTCTTTCCTTTCATGCGTTGATAGTCGAAGTTCACTTCTTGCATCCACTGTTCTATGCGTTAGTTTTCAGTCGCTGTCACTGGAATAAGTTTGGGGTTCAACTTCGGTTACATATTGCGTATCACCTAGGTCTACTGGCCGAATACTAGATCAAATCTGGTAATAGACTGCCTTCACACTGACATACGTGTAATGGTACGAAAAATCACCCGGCACTTCGATGGAACGGTCCTTGCAGATCCTTTTGTATTATTGAGACTGTCGAACACAATTGAGTCCCATCTTTATGCTTGGGAGTTCACTATGTCCTCATCTAACAAATTCCTGTGCATTATTACCAAGGAGAAATGAATTGACATGGCAGGTTCAACCTCCCTCCTCGGCATCTGCACCCTCATCATCTGACTCGGCTTCCACAGCAGCGAGGGCCTCTCTCTGAGATTTCGGGTTGGGCTTACTGACTTCCTTCTGCTCCGACTCTGTGGCACCAGTAGGTGGCATGGGCGGTTTGGAAGCCGCCATACCACCCGACGTGATGTAAAGGAATGTCTCCTGGCTGAAGTGATCGATGTGGTTGAAGAACACAGAGAACCTGTTCGCTTGTCAGCGTCCGACTCGTAGAATGGGAAGCTTGTGGAAGACTCACGCATTCGCTTGCTCTTCCTCGCGAAAGATCCGATCATAGATCTCACGCTGCTTGAACTCCTCGATTTCCTTTTCATACTTGCTGAAATCGATGGGTTCCTTGCCCAGCGTGGTCGTTGCCTTCTTGTTATAACCGTCGAAGATGGGCCGTTCGAGCAACAGACCCAGTCCGGGCGCCTTCGGGATGGCGATCTTGGTGGGCCCGTAGGAGTCCACAATGCGTTGGGGATCGCACCCGGCTCGGACCAGCATTGTAGCCATGGCTACCATCTTGCGGATCTGGTGCATCATGAAGCTTTGGCCGTGGACTTTGAGGCTGAGCCACTCGGTGCCGTTGATGAGGATCGGGTCGCGGTCTACCTTGAAAGACTTGATGAAGCGTTTGGCGGAGGGGTCGTTGTATGTCTTCTGGATGGTGTAGTTGTAGAAATTGTTGGTGCCGACGTACTTGTCTAGTGTGGCTTGCAGGCGGTCCAGACGGGCGGCGGGGATACGGTATGCGCGTTTGGCTTCAGTGTAAGCGGTCTTGACTTTCTTGACTGCCTCGTAGATCCTCCGTCTGCGCGCTTCTTCTTCGGCCGATGTCTCTGTGCTTTGGTCTTGGGCGGTCTGTTCCAGATCCGCAGGTTTACCTTCGGAGGAAGTTTGTTGGGCGACATCCTCAGCCTGAGTGGATTCCTGTGGTTGCGACTCCTCCTTCTGACCGGCAGATTCGTCCTCTTGCGATTTTTCCTCGTCAAAGTATAGAGCCTTTTCGACTAATGCACGGATATCTTCAGGAACGGTATCAAGAATAGGCTTGATACGCTCATTATCGACATCGTTCCAGTAGGTAGCTACCTCCTCCTGTCGGGCTTTGTAAGCTTCAAGGTCTCCCTCCTTCTCAGCAAGCTCTACAATCTTCTTGCCAAGATAAGTGCTGGGATGTGGCGGCAGGAAACAATAGCTTGGGATGAGGTACTCGTAGACACGAGAGTCGCACATCTGGTAACAGCTGAATCCCTTATTCGTGACCTGGATGTCCCAGACTCGGATCTGGGGGCAAAGCTTCTCGTTGATCTTCTTGATGATGTCTGGATCTTCGACAATCAGTTTCAGCGAAACCACATTACCAGCCGCGTGAACACCCTTGTCTGTGCGCGCACATCGGACCAAGGACGACTTCTTGGGGTCGGCAGCGTTGGCTTTGGAGATGGCGCCTGCCGCAACGAACGCAGTGAACAGATCTCCTTCGATGGTCTTTTCCTTGTCACTCCTGGGTACAAGTCAATATCGTAGTCCAAAGCTTCATAGATAGCCAAGAGTCGTACAATTGCATTCCATGATAGCCCGTCCCAGAGTATCCGATTAATACAGCAACCTTCTTCTTCGGCCGCCGCTGCTCACTTTCGATATCTTCCTGCGAGAAATGCGTCGCATAGATAGGCCCTGACACTTCTTCACCGTTCTCAATCTTGCGCCGTTTGGCTTCGTTTTGCTCCTCATTGCGCGCTCTCTTGTCTACCATGTGCCGACTTGCCAGGTTAGTCGATGACAGCTGGGACTGGTATATTATCTCCGCGCGAAAACATACCTCCATTCTGACCTTCCCATATTCCTCTTCTTACGCTTTTCACCAGCTCCTCCTGGTCCCTCAGCTCTTCCTTCGTTATTGTCCATGGTGAGTTTCGTCTTTGCCAATGCTGTAATGACACTTTTGTTCCGAATTGCCGTTGCGCGGTCGTAGAATCGACTAATCTAGTATTCCGTAGCGATGGAGAGACTATCGAGAGGTTCCTGGGGGATGGCCTAATCCCAGACAAGCACTGACGCAGGGAAATGTAGGCGCGCATGAAGAGGCCAGTCCGCACGGAGGCTTTTGCTGCATCTGAACGGCTTCACATTATTAGCATTTTTTTGACTGCGATTTGACGTTGGAGCGGCGCTACACCAATTTGGGACTAGCTGAGGGTCGATTGGACTATTCCCGAATCATACAGCTCTTTTGTGCCTCAGGCACTAACAGTGGGTGCCTCGGGCATGCTCTTTGGTTCCAGCCTTTCTTTCACATCGAACTCGCCTCAACCTTCTCTTCTACCACACTCCTTTGTCCCTGTTCTGCAGTTCTGTTGTGTTAAGGCTGCATTCAAGCTGTTGCATCTCTTCTTCCTTCCTCCGAACTTGATCTGGCCTCTTCCGGCTGTCTGGACGGAAAAGAATGTCCCTCGTCTTTCGTTAAAGCTCTATTCGGTGACATCAAGAATCTTTGCGCCGTTCCCCTTGGTGTTTGCTTCGAGATCCCCTGGGCAATTACAGGTTCACCATATTTACGCGACAAATCTCGATTTCCTCTGGGATGGATCTTGCCAATACTCTCATCCGGACCGTCGTCCGGGCTTTCTATGAGACACGCCAGATCCTCATAGTCGATGCGCTCTTTATCCACTCGGTGTATGTTTATTTTCTGAGGGCTTTACAAGTGTCGGAAGCCTGGGTATACATGGCTGACACTCGTCTCATTTCACCTGATGTAGACTCCATGCGGAAGATCTTGCTTTCCTTCTCGGCATGCAGCAGAAGGACCTGCGGAAACTTTGCGCCAAGTTGCGCGAAGATCGTTTGATCGCGGTGTATGGCTCGCTTGCAGTCCCAGACTAGTTGGACCTGCAAACAAGCTGACATGATGACTTTTCCCCGTGCAGAAGCACACGAGCCGAGATTCGAGACGGGTCAACCCGCCCTGTCAACCGTGAATACTACTATATCCCGTTACATCCCGTCATCGACGCTATCAAATTCAAGGTCTCGAAATTAACCTCGACAATCAAAGCTCAATACACACCAAGCGAGGAGAGGAAGGAATACGTATGCTTGCGTTGCGGCGCCGAATGGACGGAGCTGGATGTTCTGAGCCTGTATTCGGACGAGGGCTTCGAGTGCCAGAACTGCGGGGCCATCCTTGAGCGAACAGAGGACGTCAAAGGAGCCGAGGGAATTGACCGCACGGGACACGAGAAAAACAGCAAGCTCATGGCCCAGCTCGATAACATGCTGAAACTGCTCAAGCAGATCGACTCGGTCGAGATCCCCCCCAACGACTTCGAGACTGCATGGCACCACAAGGTCGACGTCGTCCGCAACCAACAAACACACCCGACCAGAGCCGCCATCGTCGTCCCCTCGAAACAGCAAGAGGCCGTCCGCGGTAACCTCAAGACCGACGCCGCGGCGCTGGAAATCTCCCTCACCTCCACCGAGGAGAAGAGCGCCGCCGAGCAAGCAGAAGAAGCCGCGCGCAAGGCCGCCCTCGAGAAGCAAAACGCCCTTCCCGTCTGGCACACACACTCGACCGTCTCCACCGCCGCCGGCAACGTCAACTACATCAAGACCGAGTCAGACACCGCCATCAAATCCGAAATCAAGGAGGAAGAGGACCGGAAACCCAAGATCGAGGACCTGGACGACAAGGTCGCTGCATACTACGCCGAGATGGAACGAGAGAAAGCCCTCCAGGCCGAACGGGACGCCAGCAGCGCCGAAGAGGACGATTCAGATGACGAATTTGACGAGGAATTCGAAGACGTTGGCGGCGTCTCCGCTAGCGACACCGCTTCTCCAGCGCTCACGGGCGGTCCTACCAGTGCACCCACCTCCGCACCAGTCGGCATCAAGCGCGAATTCGACACGGATTCCGGAACGAGTGCGCCCCAGACCGCTGTGGGCACGCCAAATACACCCGCCGACGATGGACCGGCAGCGAAGAAGATCAAACTCGAGCCTGATTTGAAAAAGGAGGAGTCTGACGAGGATGACGAAGAGTTTGAGGATGTCTGAGGCAGATAGTTGGCGGTCTTTCACAGTCTTTAGGGATCACGAGCGCGGGCGCTTGCGATCACGTACTTGCAGAAGGGACTCTTATGATGACGCGACTAAGATTTCCAAAGCCTAGGTACCTATCACCGAGAAGCCATTTTCACTTGGTTCTCGACTACTGGTTGGCTGAATTTCACTACTTCTGTAGGGAGCAGTTCTTGCATCTATTGCAAAGGATCCTCACAATAGCCTGTACAATAGGTTCCGAATGAAAAAGTCACTTGCCGATAACACAGATGTTGATTGAAAGAACATCCATAGTTCTAATCCACTCTAAAACTTTTTTTTATAATCGTAGCAACTGAGATGTTTGCTTCATCTGCTCCACAGCATCAGACTTTCCCCATCAGAAACGATGTATAGTAGGTCGGTGCAACAATCAAAGACGCCTGAACGCGCTCGACATACACCTCGTCATTGCAACGTTTCAAAGAACAATCACCCATTATGTAACACAAGATCAAGAAGCTGAAAGATAAGGGGAAAAAGGTCACGGAGAAGTGCCAAACTCCAACCATGGTCGCCCGAAACAAAAGCCAAACAGCCAACGCCCGCTTCTCTACTCTCGTTTGTTGGGCTGGAGAGCAAACGCCGACAAATGCACAGTCTGCAAGTACGATGTAGAACTTGGTCATAAAGTCGTCACTCGTATGTGATTCAATCACAGCGTTTCATCAAGTGCTTCGCCGGTCTGCTCATGGGGAACCTGCCATTCCCATCTCCGAATCGCTCGGCAGCATGGAATTGTCTTCCCATTCATCTGGAGATGGTAAATCAGACACTGCCATCGAGGGTTAGATGCTGACAGGGGATCAAGGAGAAAAGATTATCATACCGGAAGCCAGTTCTTCTGGCATATTCACAGATAGCTCATCGATGGCTGCGCTAACCGCTACAAGTAACACTGGTTAGCCACGTTCCAGAGTAGAGGGGCAATGCAGGTACCGAATCGGGGGCGAACGAACCTTGCGCCTGACGGACAAACTCTTGGTCCTCTTCGCTGTCATCAAAGTACGTGGCCAAACAATGATCTACGACGGCTTTGACGCTCTCGACCACCCTTGCTTCCACGTTGTTGGCAGGCCCAGTCAAGAAAGTCTTTCTCAGCTTCTCGACACTGTTGCGCACAAGCTCCTTGGCAATATCGGCATGACGTGACTGCCAATCAGGACCCATGTCTTCTGCTTCTGCGCTGAAGAGTATCTGGTGTAAGAGCGCCAAAGTGGTGTTCCTGACCGTCTTGTCAGGAAAGATGAGTAGAGTGGGAGCCCAGTCAGGTATTTTTTCCACAAGCTGCGTTAAAAACCAATTTTTCTCTAGGCCGAGGCGGTCGTTTCGGCTTGTCAGCAAGCTCGTAAAGAATGCAAGATGCTCTCTACCGCCACTATCGTTAATTGACTCAATGCCCTTGGCAACAAAATCAATGAATGCAATGATTCGGTCCTCATCAGGGCTCCTTTGGCAAAGAACCAGAGTCGCCTCTAGATACGGCGCACAGAGCTCAGCGGGTTCAACCCTGAGTCCATCTTCCAAGACCTTGCATAGCGGTTCCATCAGACCGGCTTCGGGTTCCGAGTCCAGCAAAAGACCGACAATAGTCATAGACGCGTGAGGATTATGATTTGGTTGAAGGATTCTCCTCAAAAGTGATAGCTCGCGATCCCTCCCGAGAGAACGAACGAACACATTTTCTGTGACCGTAAGTGAAAACTTGCCATTCGGTAAAGAGCGTCGCTCATCGTCCGAAGTTGGGGCCACGGTGAGATCAATTTTTGTCAACAGAAATGCCAAAAGATCCATGAGTCTCCTGTGCGAGAATTTCCTACCCTTTTCGAGGAGCTTGATGTAAGACAGATATTGACGCTTCAACCTTTTTGAGTCTTCTCGATCGAGCCACACAACTTCCAGGCATCTGAGTAGAAACCCGCTGTTCAAGATTGTCTCAGTCTCATAGCTTCCCAGGTTCGCAAGAGACAGAAGAAATGTGAAGTAATCGTCCCATGAACGGCTTGTGGTATGGAGAACGGGCCATAGCCCATCCAGAGTGGCAACGACGTTCTCGAACCCATCAAGGTACCGCATGTGCCATTTCTCTTTCGCACGGTCATCAAGGCGTATCTCGTCACGGAGCTCTTGAAGCCTTTCGAGCGCGCGCATAATGATTTTGATCGTACTATCCCGGACAGACGCATGAGGACTTCTCAGTACCAGATTGCGAATACCTGCTGATCGCTCCACCACCCACTCAAGTACTCTGTGAGCTCCCTTTGGCAACTCATTGATCACTCTCATGAGCTCCGAAACGAGGACATCGAGACCCAGAGGCTCCCTTGTTCTCGCGATCAGTTGCTCTAGGGTATCTAATGCGATGAAGACCACATCCTGATCCAGGTTGGGTCGCTTGTTCGTGACCTCCGTATCATGAAGTCGGGAGAGGAGATGTCGGACAAACAAGGCATGATAAGGGTCCATAAGACAGTATGTTCGTATGAAGACCTCGTTCTCCATGGCAATGTGGTTCGCCAGCGGAATCGGTAATGACACCTGCACTGGATGGTCGGCCTTGGATGGCTTGTACAGCATTTTTTCCGACTCCATACTCGAGATGCGTTGGTAGAAGAGCATGTAAGCGTTCCAGACCTTGTTGAATCGCACTTGGTTCATGGCGGCGGATTGAACCGAGTCGTTGTAACCACCAAAACACTGATCTGCAATCTTGGATGGATCGAACCTGCTTACGTCTGAATCATTGAACTCCACCCAAGAACCTCTTCCTCCAGCACTGGGTCTCTCCCGAATGTATGAGTAGTAGTGCCCTGACTCGGCTGTTCCGCTATGAACCAGGACCCCGACGAGTTTGAAGACGTCCTCTTGAACATTCGAGGTCTGGTCAGAAAGATATTCGACTTTGAATGGGCTCATATCAATGTGCTCAGGAAAGCGGAATTCATCATTGATTTTGCTTCGCATCATTGTGATCATGTCAAAGTCGAAGCGCTTAAGATGGAAAATCAGGTTGTCTGGCACTTCCTTCAAGCAGGCCCTATACGGAGAAGTCAGTGTCAGTTTATCCTAGTGCAGGAGAACGCCAATGCAGCCTACCTCTTAACGGCATCGACATGCCGCCCACAGGATGTGCAGGAGTATTTGTTATCTAGCAGGGACAGTCAGAATGGCGGCCAACCCACAACCTTCTTCTCTCGAAATCGCTTACCTCCTTGCATGATCTCCCCTTCGACATAGGCTTGTAGACTCTCCTCGAGACTTACTTTGCCCTTAATATCGCACTGGATGGCAGAGAAAGGCTCTAGACGCTCAGAGATGTGAGGGCATTCCTTGGACTTAATTTGCTGGACCAGCTGGCCGCCGTAAAAAGATCGAAACTTCCTCTTGTCCTCGGAGCCCGAGATCTGCGCCTCCCATCTGTCAAACAGCAGGTTATAGAATTCATCAACGTCCATTTGAACCGTTACATCGATTGGTTCGTTGTCGTAAGTTCGAATGGTATCTACCAGTCCTTGAGGATCAACACTCCTGAGCCACGTTTCTTGCATGTAAGCAAAGATCTTCTTCGTTTCAGCAAGTAACCTCTGGGAAGCATCTGGATCCGAAAGGCGGAGTCGCAGCATGAAATCGCGGAACTGGACGTTCATGAACAGTTGGGTTAGAAGAGAGTTCAAATAGCAAGTGTTGGAAAGATTCTTGAGTCCCGCATAACCTTCGGGAGAGCGAATCATCTTGTGCCGATCAAAACACCAGCTGGACAAGTATGTATAATCTGCCAGATCGCCACGGTCGATCAGCATCACAAGGGCCACGCCGCACGTGCCAGGAACAGGAAATTCGTACCTCTAGGGATCAATTCTTTGACACTGTCGACCACTGTGCAGTAATCCTCAGTATATTTGCACAATAAACTTAGGATGCCATAGAGCTCTTGGCGGGTCTGAGTGTGCATAACTGGAATCTGCGGGACGATGAGGCTGTCCGATTCCTCAGATAAATTGGGGAAAAGATAATTGTCAAAGAGTTTCTCAGCAAGGTCGCTATAAGAGTAGGATTAGTGAGGGTCGGAAACCGAGGTTTTTATTCAGCGAACTTACAAGGCGTCTAACCCAGTATTGCTCGAATCAGCTAAATCCAGGCACGACCTCAAAAGACGACAGAATCCCAGAATCAGGTGATCCACGGGCTCACGTCCAACGAACTTCCCAAGAATTAGTGACGAGAGCGGATAACATCAAGGGACTCTAACTGACCTCTTGTGTTTTATGACCTAGCATGACGCTGCTCCACTGCTTGAGGTATTCGCCATATATGAGGTCCTTAGGCGATTGCTCCGCGACCGATTGAAACACCAGGTGAGCAATTTCGAAAAATTCCTGGGACTGTTCAGCATGCTCCAGAGTCTGCGGCATGATCTGCACAAAAGCATCCCAGATTGTTGCCAACATATCAACTCTGACCGGGTTTTCAGAAGCCATTGTGTCCGATGCATCCTGCATTTCGCCATCGACCGCTTTTGTTGGTTTCCTGACCAGCTTGGACGGGCTGCAGGCGACGGCAATATGTTCAATTATCTCTCTGCGAATAGGCTGTCGACTCTCATCCAAGAGGAGGGATACAAGGAGGCGGTCTAACTGTGCGTGTTGCTTGATAACTTCCCAGAACTCGTGATCGCGCAAGGAACCCTCAGTGAGGACTGCAAAGCAGTTGCAAACTAATCTCTGAACGCGGGCCCCCAACAGGCAAGTTGAGGGCATTCCTCGTCCGATTTCTATTAATTTTTGCAACTGTTGCACCAGCTGAGCGGAATTTGTGATTGTCAGAGAGTCGGCGGCTGCAGGTGGTTTCACTATGCAGCGAGTCAGTACCGACGAGTTCAAGGTAGACAATGGCCAAGACAACTTACCCATCAAAGCGTGAAGAAGGCATTCAACAAGGCTGGCGGCGATTTGAACTTTCGTCGGAGACTCTGGCAGCGATTCAGGCGTCTCTGGGCGTGTCAGGGCAGCAACAACGACACGGATGCTGTGAGAAACAAATGCGTGATCTGGCGCCGACTGCGATGATATCAGCATAGTTCACAATTGGACAGGTCGGGGATTGGAATAACCTCTAATGCTTCTTCTCTCAAGCAACTAGAAAGTGTATTTGCAGAATAAAGCAGGCTATAAGGTTTGTCCGCTGGAAAGATGTCTTGCTCGGTCTTGTGCACAGATTTGACTAATTCAATCACCCTCTCTTGAGGCGGAAAGACAACGAGAAAGTCATAGATCTGCAATAGCCGGGGTAAGTAACGATATCGTAAATAAAACGTACGCAAGGCGAAAAATGAACTCACCTCTCGAGCCAGGTGGTCCTGAAGATTGAGAAGGTCGTAAAGGTCGTCAAAATGTTTGAGCACCTCAGAATCCACCGAGGTTAGTGACGGACGTCTACCAGTCGAGACCACCTCGCGGCTGTCAGCATTCTTCCGGATGAGTAGCAGCCCGGACCCGATCTTCAGCTCACGTATTGTGAGATCAGGTTTCTCCAGAAGATCCAGTCGTCGGCCACCTGTAATGGTACTAAACTTCGAAAACCCCGTTAGCTGTACGAGTTTCTCAACCAACTCAGTCGCTGTAGCAAGATCTCCAATTCGTAACGATCGAAATTTACTTTGAGCACTTCCGTTGAATGTTTGATACCGAATTTCGACCAGCTCGCCCTTCACCGGATGATCAGGCAAGCCGGGTGGTGAATTTTGCGGCGGACTATATTGGGGCCGAGTCCGTAGCCCCTGGAGGAACTGGCGAAGAAAGAGCAGCGAACGACTGAACCGTATTGCGTCGGCTCGACTTTCACCTCCGCTGAGGTCGCCTAGCATTGACTCGTCCGTACCATCGACAGTGTCGCCAATGGATGACTTCAACTGAGCCGCGGCTGACTTGAGTTGTTCAACACAACGATCCACCAAAGCAATATGAGTTGCCTCAACGGCCGATCGCGGAGAGCGGTTGATCACGCCGTGATCAAGGTAGACCTCGATCGCAAAATTTGTGGCGTCTGTTTCGATTGAGCCCGGCGGAGCGGTCAGAATGAAATTCCAGATACGGTCCAGTCCGGGAATTGAGACGACCTCATTCTCTTTAGCGATCGGCGGCGGGTTGAAACGGACCTCGTAATTGACCGCTTGTTTTGCGAACGCGAGCAATTCGGGAGAATAGTCATTAGGAGACAATTCTGGAAGGTATTCTTGGATACACCGTTCAACGAATGGATTGCGTTTTGGGCTGCGTCTCACGAGTTCGCACAACATGTCCCACACAGCCCGTCGGCCTTGTTCCACCAGTGTTTGCGACACGAGCACCTTTCTCCAAAGGACATCAGCCAGGTCCGCTGTGATAGAATCAGGGACTTTGTCAATAATGCGGGCAAGCAGCTGAATTCTGGATATGAATGCGTTTTTCGAAAAGGAGTCGGCAAAGTCCGTCTGCTTCATGTCGACCGTGTGAACCATTTCGGCAATGACCAGGGCCGTAAGATCAAAATCCGTGGCAAGCTTCCGTATTTCCTGCGTATCGTACCCTGGGAGGAGAGCGTTCAAAGCCTGAATGCTGCCGACAGTAAATTGGTTCATTTCAGCAATATCCTGAATGCAGCGTTCGTACGTCTCCATCTTATCACTTTCACTCAGCCCGACACTTATCAACGAGCTCAATTGAGAGCTCGCAAATCTCTGCAAGAAAGCCTTGTGCTCCACCGAGAACTCTTCAAATGCAGCACTCTCGCGAATGAGGCGCACGCACAAACGCAGAGGAACAGCATCCACATGTGACGCGTCCGGCAAGTCATGCCGATTCCTCTCGCCCTGTTTTTCACGGACCTGGTAGAGAAGTTGCTCACAGAACTCCACCATCCGTGCGTCAAACTGAGCCAGAGGTAGCTCAAGAAGCTTGGAGCACAGGTAGAGTAATGCTGGGGACAAAGCTGAATGCATGTGGAATGTCCTGGTAAGCATCCCGAGTACTTCGGATACCGTCCGGGGATCTTGTGACTGTGTCACCGTCTTCCAGATCGTATCCGTGTCTATGTCACCGTAAGTAGAGGTAACTATCAGGAAGCCGACGACATTTCCACTTCTACTAATGAGCTGAGGATGTGAATCGACGCCGACAATGTAATCGACAATCTTATTCTCCCTCAGGAAGCCGACGAGAAATCGGACAAGCGGGTGCTCAGTTCCTGTGGGATTGTTTTGGATATATTGCCGCCATACGTTGACGAGATCTGCTTGCATGGTCTCTATGCCATGAACCCTCAACTCCATGCGGCCATCCTTGATGTGCTTCTTCAGCACGGCAAACCTCCAAGCGTAATAAATGATCCAGGCACGCTCATCTTGGGAGATATGCTCAGGGAGCTCGATCGAGAGGTCTTTGGCGACCTGCGATGTGAAACTCGAATCGCGGCTGATGGCAAGATAGATACTCGAGATGCAGCGGAGGATCGACTCACTCGTGTCGCTTGTGACCCAGGGTAACTTCTTAGCGATGTGAACCTGATACTTTCCATCAATGTCCCGGGCGAACTGATAGACATGTTTCAGAAACAGAGGGAAAGACGCGGATTCGGCGGTACTTTCCTCCTCGCGGATCTTCCACTGTTCGATCCCAGAGTCCATGATGTTTTGCACGATGCTGATGGAGTGCACCAAGGAAGAAGAGAGCTGCGACCATTGGGGTCTAGAGACAAGAGCTAGGAGGCAAGCAGCATACTCAGATAGCAGGTGGATCGTACCAATTGGAAGGAACGCAATTCGAATATTGAGCTGAACGACAAGGTCAACGATCTCGGAACCGTGGGCGCGTTCCATGGCGCGATAGAAGGGAATGCTGTGTAACTGTAATATCCAGCCCAACGCTGGCAAGTATGTCCTTGACATAAGATCCAAGGCCTGCATATCTGTATTCTCAGCCAGTTGCTTCAAGGTCAGTATATCCAAGCGCATCAGGCGAAAGCCAAGCAAAGCAAAGTTGATAAAGAATTCCTCCAAGCAAGACCAGATTCCTTGGCCATCGTCAGGTTCCAGAGGCTGCCTATAATGGGTGAATCCTGGTCAGCGAGAAAATAGTTCTGCCACCTCGCCGTAATCCACCGATGTGTGGTGTTCCAAAGACTGCTTACCCTCTGCGAAGCAACGATTCCACCAGCATGGGTAAATCTTCCCAGAATATTCGGTCATCCACGAAAGTTTCATCAGAAAATTGATCCAAGCTCTGTGCAATCTCATCGAACCAGTTCTTCACGGCCAAGAAGACACCGACATCGTGTTGACTTCCTGCCGGTCGAGCTCCGTCAGTCCTCAAGAGCTTCAAACAAGCACCCAAATTATCAAATACACCTTGCATACCTTTCTCGATGATTAGGCTGATCCCCTCCAAGTTCTCCCGTAGGTCATCGGCCTCTCGAAGCTTGGGAAAGGTCTCACTCAAAGGCGGCTGTCCTTGGAGCTGCACTACCTCTGGTGTAACAGGATCCCGCAAGGCTTCCCCGAGCGTTCTCCACGTCGAAGTGTTGGGGTCCTGATCCATGTCTTCCAAGTCGGCCACCTCAATCTCCGGACTCTGTGCAGGCGTCGACGATATCGAGACGACTTTGGGGGAATTAGCGGCTTGGGCAGCACCAGGCTGCTCGGCAGTAGTGTCTAGGCAGTCAGTCGCCATGGTATCGGAGGTGGGAGATTTCACATTGATTGTCACTCTGCTGGCGGGGCCGGTCGACGCAGGGACGTCGTGATCTGTCGTCCCGGACGCGGCAGGAACAGCCGGCGTCGGCTCGGACATTCGAGAAATGGCAGCCTCGTCTATCGACAACGACTCAACCACACCGCTTCCACTGTCGAGACGCGGACGTTTCCGGGTAGATTGGGGATCGAGATCTTCCATGGGATCGCCGTGTGGACGCGTCGAATCGGTGGATAGAGTAGAGTCAGGCGGGGTGCTAGAGCTGTCTAGCGGGGCAGCTGCCATGACATTTTCTCTACCTTCTGGTTGAAGTGTGAGGGGGATTTAAGGTGTAATAGAAGGATGTAACAATGGTTCATAAGTTGACGTCTACCCACAAAGAGATAAGATAATAAATTGTCTCAGTGTATGGAGTAATGAAGACAAAAATAAGAGAGTGTGCGTGAGTGAGTATGTGTGTGAAGCGAAGGGAAGTATGTCAAATAATTAGGTAGAGTGTGGAAAGCAGAAAGCTACCTAGATAACCACCAGATAGAAAAGTGAGGTAGGCAGCTATCACTATGCAGTGAGATGATGATGATAATCACAAGGTTGGCGGACAAACCAAACACCACCAAATCAAAAAGCTTGGACTTAGGAGGGCTGAGCGATTGGAAAGAAGAATTAAAGAATTAAGAACAGGCAGCTCTGACGTTGCGGTGGAGAAGGCCCAGTAGTGGGTCAGAGGCTGTGAAGCCTGAGAGGCTGGTTGCAGGAAACCCTTGATACGCTCCTTAGTACTTTTTTTATCAAGAAGAATGAATCAACAAGGAACTAAATCATATCTACCTCTGTAATCAAGAGCTACATTTTGACTGGGAGTAAGACTCTACCAATGTATCATTAAAAGATATATTCTGCAATATTATATGGTAGTACCTTCAGTCAATACCTCTCAGTAAGATACTGAGGGGGACAACACCCAAATAAAGCATGGAAAAGCATTCTGCAATCCCCCGCGTGGCAGGTGAATATAGGTACTAGCTTGTTTGCTGCCCCTGTGAAGATGTTCCTTTGATTATAGTTCTCACTGTAATTAGCGCCTTGGATCTTTCAGTAATTGAATAGAAACTGAATGTACTGGAATTAGAGCCTCATATGGTACAAAAGATCCTGGTCCCCGCGACGGATAGGACCTAGAGTACTTCCCAGATATCAAGGATGATTATCAAAATTAGAAGTCTACATACCCCTTACTGATTAACATCATGGAACTTGCAACGTGCATGTATAGCATCAAGTCTGACTTGTTTCATTTAGAATGTGACTGTCATGCTTTGCATTATCTTAGCATTGCGCCGATCAACCCGCCAACCATCTGGAATTGTGAGGTACCTGAGGCCTGAGGCTAAGGAGAATCTGGCATGCTCAGATCATTGCAGCTCTGCTAGTAAGCAATATGTCCCAATGATGTCTCAGACATACTGCCACTTAATGATTCCTCGGCAGAGATATAAAGCCATTGTAGAAAGGTACGGGCTACAGAGTACTTACCTTCGTCTGATACTCGTCAAAACCTAAAAACTGCCGGTCCCCACAGAAGCTTCCCAGCCGTCTACTAGTACTATGGACTTCTAGCGTCTAATTAAAAGTCTGGTCAATCTACTCATTCTATCAATTCATTGATTCTTTCCACACTGTTGACTCCTGTTTCCTACAATACTCATTGGAGCCTCGCATAGAAGTGTTTGTGGTACTTTGGACATGAGCAAGAATGCTAGCATACATTAGGACTGAGAGGTATACACCTTGGAAATGTACGGCGAGGTTTGAATTGGTGCCATTACTCGGTCATCGATGTCTCAATCTTACGAATGATCCTAGCTGGATTCCCAGCAGCAAGATGGAAAGCAGGAACATCCTATCACCATCATCGTCAGTCACAAGGACAAAGGACAGAATAAATGATCACTGCTGCTATGGCCATGGACATACCCTAGTTACTACGCTCCCTGCCCCAATCGTGGCTCCCTTCCCAATCGTAACCCCCGGGAGGACGATCACGTCTCCGGCCAACCAGCAATCCTCGCCGATATGGATTTCTTTCCCCAGCTCCGGACCCTCTGTTCCATTGCGCAGGGCGGGGTCCAGCGGATGAGTTCCGCTATACAGACTGACGTTTGGACCTAGCATCGTTCGTGCCCCAATAGTCACGAGGCAAGTATCGATGATGACACAGTTGAAGTTGATGAACACGCCTTCTCCTAGTCGCACGTTGAACCCGTAGTCGATCCGGATAGGTGCCTCTATCCATGGCTCTCGCGACAGAAGAGCATCATCTTCGGCGGGATCCTCTTTTGGAGGTGGAAGAGGGGTCTTGTCATCGACGATGCTATCAACCATCAGCTGGAGTTCAGTGTGTATGGAGATTATGATGCCCCCACATCGCAAGGTAAATAGTCCGTGTTTTGAGACCATATTAGGATTGTATTCGGTGTCATTGACATTTGAGATTCTTCTTACTGTCACTTACTCTTTCCAAAGCTCGATTTGTTGCCGGCGAGATACATCACCGGCACTGTTGAATCGATGACAGGCATGTTTACAGCGAGTCCGAGCAGCTATCAAGTCTGGAGTGAAGGCGTAGTAGAGCTCTCCTCGGAGCATCTTCTCTTTCTCAGACGGCAATTCGGTGGAATTCATAATGCAAGGTAGGATATGAATCTAGAGAATTTGTTTTCTTTGTTAGTAGACAATGTTCGACTCAACGATTGAAGTGTCATATTGTGGTCGAGTGGGGAAGTGACAACAATAGCTCAGGGACAATCCTAAGATAGACCAATGAATCATCCCAGATCCACAGCAAACTCACTGATATTGTTCTTGATCAAGCATAGATACACATACTCTATTGTTCTCTTTAATTTGGAAATAATGCATTGATATTCCTTTTCTAGTTCATATTCATGCTCTATCCTTCCCAGCCAAAGTTATAATAATCCAGACTATGACGCTTCTCTGAGGCCATCAAAGCTTCTGCAACAGACCAAGAAGCTGCCTAACACCAGGCACCACTGTCACTCCAACACCCTCACCCCTACCGAAAACCAAAATGACCAAACAAGCCTCACCTCAAGACGAAAGCGTCTCCTCCGGCAACCAGCCCGACACCAACAGCATCACCAGCACACCAGGCTGGCGACCCGCGCGACCCGCGCCGCCGCGATCCCGATCCCCTCCCCCCCTCGACGCATCCAACTATCCCAACGGCGAAAAGTCACTCGCAGGCATATCGCTGCGCGCCTTTCTCATAGGCACAGTCCTTGGCATCTCAACCAGCATCACGCTCTACCTCCTCGTCATCTCCCCGCACCCGCTGTGGCGCGTCCCCTTCTTCATCTCCTCGCTCTGCCTCTTCCACTTCCTCGAATACTGGATCACAGCGCAGTACAACACCCGCTACGCCTCGATCTCAGCCTACCTCCTCTCCTCGAACGGCCGGGCCTACAACGCCGCGCACAGCTCCGCCGTCGTAGAGTGTCTGCTCTCGCACACTTTCGGCCCGACCGATGGATACACTGCACTGACCGCGTCCGTCAACGGGATCAAGTGGCAGGTCGTCCTGGGAATCGCGCTGATGGTGTGTGGGCAGACGGTCCGCACGCTGGCGATGAAGCAGGCGGGGACGAACTTCAACCATACGGTGCAGGTGGAGCGGCAGGAGGGCCATACCCTTGTGCGGCACGGGGTGTATGCGGTGCTGCGGCACCCCAGCTACTTTGGGTTCTTCTGGTGGGGGATGGGGACGCAGTTGGTGCTCGGGAATGTGGTTTGTTTCGTTGGGTATGCGGCTGTGTTGTGGAATTTCTTTTACAATCGGATCAAGCGTGAGTGTTTTCTTCCGCCTGTTGCTGACTGCTGGTGGATTATGCTAACGGAACGTAGGGGAGGAGAAATTTTTGATATGTTTCTTTGGAGACGAATACGTCGAGTACAGGAAGAGAACTTGGGTTGGCATTCCTGGGATTTTTTGATACCCATTTTACTAGTTTACACCCCACATTTACTTATCTTGGAAAGAGAAAGAAGGATCAAAATGTGTATACAATCATATATAGAACGTGCCAGGATGGTATCAACATATACAACCGAACGCCCTGCGGTAGAGAATCTAACACGACTGACCATGATGCGCGCTTCGAACCCGTCTAAAGTTTGCTCTCCGGTGCTACTCCCCCAACTGCACCGCTCATGTAGGCGCCCTCTGCATAACTTCCCGAGTCGGCATCTGGAGCTGTATCCCCGAAGAGAACAAGTTCACGACCGCCTCTTGTACTCCACCAGGTGACGCAGTAATGTGCGCGCTCGACGTCCATCTCACCACTGCTCAGCGCTTCCCAGAAGCGCTCAATGCAAACTTCACGCATCTCCGGTGTGCGAATTGCGTGAATGAGGTTCGCCGTCAGTGGCAGCCACTCCTCCAGATCCTCCACGCGCAGGAAACAAAGGCTGTCTATCAAAGCGAGGGTCAAGGCAGCTTGCTCGGATACTGGCGGGGGCAGACCATCATGAGCACCTGCTGCTCCTTGCGTGGATTGCGGAAGCATCTTGTCGGATGCGTTCACAGCTCTTTCGTGCAGAACTTCGAGGAGTATAGAGGGCAGCAGCGGCTGGCTATTTGCAACGAGTGATGGAGGGGCAGTCACTTGAATGACGGTCTTGAAGGCAAGGCGGAATTGGCGGGCGGATAGATTATCAGGAAAGACCTTTGATTCATGAGCACAAATCGAAAGATCGGAAAACCAGAGACAGGACTTACAGCAAAGAGATTGTCGATGTAGAAGGGAAGATGCCTAGCTGCTATGGCTGCATTTCCCGGAATGGCAAAGACAGCCAGTGCGACACTATGAGCGGCCTCAAAAATTTGGAGCAAATGGTTATTGCCGCCTGCTGCGAGATATGGAAGTGTTGCTGAGATCAGAAGCTCCTCACTGCACTTCGGAGACAAAACAGGGGTAAAAAGCTCGGCGGTATTCAAAAAATAAAGATCCAGACAGCGCTCAATGGGGTGCTGTGGAATTTGACCAAGCTCACTTGGTTTGACACTCCCTAGGAAATTCTCGGCCAGGTCTGGATACTGCGCAAGAATATCTACTGCCGTAAGGGTCACGAACGTGTGTTGCGAAGATGCGTTTTGACCAAGCCGAGACGAGACAAAGTACAAGTTGCGAAGGATGTGGAGGGCTTGCATGGAAAGGTAGGGTGCAGCTTAGCGAGTCAGTATACGAAACACAGTCGATCTTGTCGGTGCGGGACACTCACTTCTATCCGCTGCGAGAATGTGGTCGTTGAGTACCCTTCCCAGGATGGCGCGGAGAACAATCACAACAGAATATAGGCAGTTGCGGAGCAGCTTCCACAGGCTTGGAATCGTAGACTTGAGGGAATCAGGATCCAGAAACTCGAGCTCTTCAGCTGCATCGATTTCAGATAATTTGTTCTGGCGCCATTGGACCATCAGCGTGCGACCAAAATGGGCGATCTGATCCACAGATTGAGAAACTAAAGTGGGATCACTGGTATTCTTAACCGAATGTGCAATCAGTCGAGACAAGGGACCCAAAGCTGATATAAGAGGACTCGAGATGATTGCCGTCACCCGACTGAAAGTGACAGACTGTGGTGACCACTGAAAACGCTTCCCCGGTGCTTCCACAATATCCTTATCAATGGTTCCGAGAAAATATCCTCCTTCTAGACCCTCTGGTGAGAAGTATGTTGTTTGAATCAGAACAGGAAGCAAGCGGTCATAGCTGAGATTGCTCCTCTCATGATCCGACAAAAGCTCAAAAGTGTGATTCAAAACCAAAGTAATGCACTGTGCATCAATGCTGTCTCGGGAATCCAGCTCCTCAAGTGCAAGTTGCGCAGCTGTGACAAGTGCCGACTCAAGTTTCGTTCGTATGCTCCACGGTAGACCCTGTCTGTTCTGACCTTCAAATCCGAGCAGAATACCACCCAATAAGAGTAAATGTCTCCAACGTGGTGACTTCTCATCCGCTCCGCTCACGACCGCTTTCACCCAATCTTCGCGTTCAATCTTCCTAGGCTTCGCGTATGGTAATCTGGTTTCCGCCGACTCGTCGTTTTGTAATATCGCAATGGCGGCTGTATTGAAGACACTGATGATTCGCCGACATGCCTGTAGGTCAACAGGCTGTTCCCATATCGCAGGAGCGGAGAGCAATTGCGAGGCAAGCAAGGTGATGTTGAGGGGATTCCCCAGGAGGATTAGAAGGCTGGTCGCAGTGGGCAGAAGGCTGAAAGCAATGTGTCAGTCAAGCATCTTGTGCCGGATAACCTGGGTGGGCATGATCTTACTTGATAGCATCTCGAAGCTCCGATGGAGATTGGAGTGACCCCAAGAGAGCACCCAAAGAGCGTTCCGTCGCCATATTAGACTCACAATGCCGGCGGCGCAGCTGGCACCCGTCTCATAGGAAATGGATCTGTCCGACGGAGTAAAGATGTAGTATCAGGATGAACAAATGCAACGGGACTGGCCGCCGAGATCACGCTTACCGCGGAGACCCCAGATCGCCTGCCGAGGTTAGGTTGACCGCGGCCAAACAGTGCAAACAACCCACCACAGCTTTCGTTACTCCCTATCTTATCGGCCGGAGCTGTCTGGGTTGCTTTCCACCATATCGCGTTCAGGTCAAGGTTTGCGAAGATGTTTTTACGCCGCTTCCCTAAATCGTAAGGGTGACATGGCAAAGAAAGTCTTTTACAATATCCATCACTGAGCACCATGGCCAACAACCGCGTTCCGATCAACTACCAGACACCACCTTTTCCGGCGCTATATGATCCTGTGCCGACCCATCATCCTCCGCAGGTCTATTATCTGTACTATACACGAGACATTTGGCGATTCACCCTCTACTGGACTTTTATATTTTATGCAGCTAGTCATCTTGCCGTTGCTGCATGTGCTGTGGTCACGCAACTTCGGAATTGGAGAGTTTGTCTGGCTGTCCCGCTGGTGTTCTCTGCCATTGCCGCACTGGAAGCTCTTCTAGCTGGGAGTATTATTGGTCTCATGTAAGTAACTTCATTTCACCGATCTCCAACAGCAGATCCAGGCTAATTGGTTTTGAGGCTCGGTGCTGTCTACGAAGCTGGTAACTTCAGGATGTCCACATGGATTCCCATGATATGGGGCGGTATCAACGTCCTGGTCCTCATATTGTCCAGTTTTCCCATGCAAGGCGGTCTATGATCGCTCGAATCAATGGACTTAGACCCAATATTTGCGAGATCGATTAGCCCCGTGAGTTGAGAAAAGGCCAAAACTTGATGAGGGGATACAGTGCTGTCCTCAACCGAATTCGCAGCAAAAAAAGGCAATTCAATCGACAACAAGCGACTATTCGCATAACAACCGGAATAAATATTCTACCACAGGATATATCACATTCGCAAAAAGATGTTCTCTTGAGAAATCGCCTAGCTGCATCTGAAAGCTGAAAATATCGATTGCCTTTACGCCATACCCCGTCAAACTCAATATAAGCATCCGAGCATGCGGTATCTTATCTTCGATATGCGTTGTCAGGCGTGCTGCTTTGCAGACCAGGAAGACCCCCGGAACCTAGAGATGCAGCCAACGAGGCGAAATTGTGAGGTGAAAAGTTTTGTGGCAGAGAAATTCCCTGTGAAAGGAGCTGCTTTTGTAGCTCCGCAAGATCAATATTCAAGGGCGGAGTGCCTGACATGGCAGGGAGTATAGGAAACCCAGGAATGCCTGTAGTCGTTGGGAAGTTGTGTGGCTGAGACGGGTTTTGCTGAGACAGAAGCGCTGCCAGGCGGCCAGGATCCATTGGAGGCATCCCAGCTTGTGGTACAGGTTGCGGAGCACCAATACCTGGTAACAATGAGCCAGATCCTGCCTGCAGAGAATTAAGACCGGGAGGTGCAATCTGGATTCCGGGAAGAGACGGGCCGGTAGTATTCTTCTGGTCAACCAAGCTTTCAGCTTCGTCTTGTGCCTCTTGCTCTTCTTCTTCACGCATCTGTCGCCTTCCATACCCACGACTCCATGTCCCTTGGGCTTCGGCGGCCTCCTCGCCGATATGAAATCTGTCTTTCATGTAACTAGTCTCCCCTGGTCTTGCTCGAGACCAGAAGCGCGTGAAATTGTCTTTCGAGCCCGACGCTAAGATATGGCCCAAAGGATGCCAGTCGAGTGACCAGATAGTCGCACTGTGGGCGTATTGGATCCGATGGGCGGGGTAGATGACCTGTGCGGGCGTATTCGCAGGATCGGGACTGTCGTACGGGGCAATTGTAGGAACCTGCCCTGATGGAAGGTTGGGTTCATCAAGTAAATAATGGTATAATGATCCATCCTCGCTCCCTGTAGAAATGAGGGAACTGTGAATAGGGTGCCATGTAAGAGATGAGATAGGCTTCTCATGACCCCGGAGAATGCAGATATCCCGCATCATGCGTAGATCAAACACTCTCGCGGTCTGATCACGCGACGATGTAGCGAGAAGGTTGCTGTTCACTCGCGAGAATCGGGTAGTCGTGACGGTATTCTTATGGCTGTGGAGGGTCGTCAAGCACCTAGCGGTACGAGGATCCCAAAACTTGACCTGGTGGTCTTTCGATCCGGACACCAGAAGGCCTTTCGTCGGATGCCAATCGCACGATTTGACGTCCCAATTATGACCTGTAAGAACGGTATCAGCTGTTCGTGCGGTGAAATCGAAGATTTTTAGGGTCGTATCATCAGACGCGGACAGAAATTTGGTGTCGCTCGGTGACCATGCTAAATCTCGTACGGCATCGTGATGTGCATCATCGATCGTCTCCACGTTATTGAAATTCGGTCGCCAGTATTTGATGTCGCCCTTTTGTCCTCCTGAAATCAGCCAGTCATGACTATGCGACCACGCTATCGAAGTTACTCCTGCTTGTAACTGATCATAATGTGCCTGCTCACATAATCAGCTACAACAGCCCCGAGTAGGATGAATAGTCGAATGGAAGCTAACGCACGTCCATGACTGTCTCAAAGTTGAAAGCCGTTCCATTCCATAGCATAAATTCGCCAGTATGTCCTCCTGTTAACAAGCGTCTCCCTTCCGGCGTCCATCTCACGACTGTAATAGGTTTCTTCGATTTACCAATCGACTGGTGTAAATGCCGTACGGGTATCGTATCTGCAGGAGAATGGATTCGCGCCAACGGAGGAAGCATCTGAAAGCAAGAGCGACCCGTTAGTCGAAATCGTTCACCCGGGCGCGGACGTCCGTAGACAAGCCTCATAACTCACATCGACTACATAGCTTGCGCTTGGTCTCTCTGTCTCCATCCGATGACCACCTTTGTACCGTGGTTGTCGTGTGCGCATCCATTGTACGAGCGATGAGCCGTAATCAGTAACCAGTCCTTTGAATCAAGGATTAGTGTCGCAACGACAAAGTCGGGGATTTCTTGAGAGAACCTACTTGGACGTCGGGGCCCCACGATCCCACCCTCGTATGGTTTCCTCCCGTAAGGCTGGGAGTCGCCCGACGGATCATCGTAAAACGCCATCGCTACGCGACTTCGTTGGGAGGTGGTTTGCTCACGAAAGCGAGAGTATGCTCACGACAGGCCTGTAATCATGACAGGGAAGCTGAAAACCGGTCTGAAAACAATCGACAAGCTTTGGACGTGTCGGAGAGGAGCTACTTCGAGCGGGAACATATAAACAGCCTGCAATGGTCTGGTCGAATTATTATTGTGTTTTGTCGTTGATGGCTGAGAATAAAAGGTATGACCGGGGCGGTCGAACCTCCGTCCGTAAAGTCTCCCCACTCGTGGTCCAGAAGATCTCCAATTAATATGGATACTTGGCAATGATCAAACGGCGTCAATCTTTATCTAGGATTCATTTGAATGCGACCTTGAGAAGCATAAGTTTTTTCTGTCGAACATGAATTTGTTAACAACGATGGATATCATTGTCTTCACAACCTTCATCGTCCGGGACTCTAAGCAGCCAGTTTTGGGACCATAATATGATCGCACCACAAATTCTTTATAACTGGTACAGGCTTGTTGTCATGACTCTTTTGCTCTTGTGTGCTTTCGCTCCAACTTTTACATCTAGAATTTTACCATTTGACGGCTGTTACAACTTTCATAAGAGGTTTCTTTCCTCATCTGACAAGGGACTGTACAGCAGTGCTCCTAACTACGCCACCAAGGTAGACCTTATCTTCAGCTTCGCATAGCTAGGCACAGCTTCTATCAGATCTTGCAGCTCTCGCTTCTGATATTTAATTGGTTCCAAAACGGGGGTTGTACAAACTTATACAGTTCCTGGCATAGGGATCCACCGCGAATCCATGGAGGTTCGATATACCGAACCATCTCCATTAGAACACGGATGAATCAGGCCGATCAATGATTCAATCCATGAGAATCTTGGTCGGATATTGACTAGATGAAAGTTATCGCTCCATGATTCTTGATCAATTCTTGCCACTGAGTCGATTGGGAAAGGCATGACGTCTTCCCTCTCCACATAGCCAACCCCAAACGTTGACTCTATATGAATTAATATATATATCAAATAGGGAAGTGTGCGGCACAATGCTTTTTTGCATGATGAGCAGCTACTGCAATGGAAAGAAGTACACAGACGGAGTCCACCTCGCCCTCGAGTAATGCCAATTCGAGTAGGACGAGAGCGAACGGCGATGTTGAAGCTCAACAATTCCAGGAGAAGAAAGGCAAAGAATCGACGCTGGTGCAATGGGACGGCCCGAAAGATCCAGTATGTTGCTACTATGCCACTTATCATGCTGTTACAGCTTATACTAACTAGTTCTAGGACAATCCAGTCAATTTCTCACCCGCTCGCAAATGGACCATCACCGTGATGCTTGAGTTGATGACCGTTTCGGTGACTTTTGCATCGTCTGTCTTCAGCACTGCTGCCCAGGTCACAGCCAAAAAATTTCATGTCTCTGAAGAAGTTATGGTCCTAGGGACGAGTCTCTTCGTCCTAGGCTTCGCCTTTGGGCCAATGGTTTTCGGACCTCTATCCGAGCTGTATGGGCGCAAGACACCACTGTTTGTGGGCTTCTTGATTTTCGCCATCTTTCAAATTCCGGTTGCAGTGGCACAGAATCTTCAGACCATTTTCATCTGCCGATTCCTGGGAGGCTTCTTTGCAAGTGCGCCTCTGGGTATTGTATGACTCTTTTCCATTTTCATAAGGGCCATAAATTCAGAAATAAGATCGCTGACCTCCCCGTTGCATTAGGTTGGCGGTATGTTGGCGGATCTTTTCAATCCAGTAGATCGCACCATTGCCGTTGCCGTCTTTGCTGCGAGTACCTTCATCGGGCCTGTCGCTGGCCCCATTGTCGGTGGGTTTATAACCATGTCATACCTAGGTTGGCGGTGGACCGAATACATCACCGCCATCATGGCGTTCTTTTTTATGACTTTGGGCTTTTTCATTGTCCCTGAAACGTTCGAGTCAACCATTCTTCAGCGTCGCGCCAAGCGGCTGCGGTTTGAAACTAAGAATTGGGCGCTACATGCCAAATCTGAAGAGCAGCCCATCAGCCCTCGACTAATTCTGCGAAAGTACCTCCTGAGGCCAATGCAAATGCTGATTTTAGAGCCTATCTTGCTGCTGGTCACTCTATACATGGGTTTTATTTACGGCTTCCTATATCTCTGCTTTGAGGCCTATCCGATTGCCTTTCAGGAGTATCGCAGGTGGAACGCAGGAGTCGGAGAATTGCCGTTTCTGGCCATCACCTGTGGCGTGCTTGTCGGGTGTGGCATCATAATCGCCTTTGCTAAGACGCGCGTCGAGCGCATGTACAAGGAGATCGGCTCAGTGATACCTGAAGAGCGTCTCATCCCAATGATGATTGGAGGAGTTCTATTGCCGGCCGGCATGTTTTGGTTCGCATGGGCATCAGATCCGAACATCATCTGGGTTCCGCAGGTGATCTCAGGAGTTTTCCTCGGAGCCGGAGTATTGTTGATCTTCTTGCAGGTGTGTTTGCTGATGTCTTCCTGTTCGGATGCCTTGTCAGATTTTATCCAATCTAACTCACGATAGGGACTCAATTATATCATCGATTGCTACGCTATGCATTCGAATTCAGCCATCGCGGCGAATTCCTTCTTCCGATCAATGCTGGGAGCAGGCTTTCCCATGTTTGCACTGCCCATGGTGTGTTCTCCAACACTTCCGTAAATTCGTTCACAGACTGATGGATGCAGTTCCATAACCTTGGAGTCGACTGAGCCATGACACTCCTGGGCTTCTTGACAGCGGTTTTGTTCCCGGTGCCTATCTTGTTCTATATCTACGGAGCGAAGATTCGCTCGTGGAGTCGATTCAGTCCAACTGGCTGATTCCGTAAATAGTCGATGGCACATATTTATGTAGACAGTAAATTACCATCCTAAAAATTGAGTATCGATCCTCTTGTATGCGATATTGTGCATCAGCTCGATAGGCTGCAAATTCGTTATCTGTCAACCCATCAGTCAGTGAAAGATATTGTTAGTGCACTCAAAGTTCTGTTTCTGTTTCCTTGCGTGTTTCGAGGTGGCATGGCGCCAAATCAAGCTGAGAGATAAAGAAGGACCTAGACTCTGTCCTTAGTGCAGCAAGCAACGAGGAAAGCCAGTAATTGAGCAATAATGAGTCGAATCAAAACATCGTTGTCAAAGACGGATGTCAACGGCGTCTAGGCATGCATTTGGTGCAGCGGTGTTGCATTGGTGCGTGGGTCAAGTGCACGGGAGCGTGACGGAAGCCCGCAAGATGACTTGACTATTAATGGTTCTCGCCGGGAGGTGCTAAGATACTCGAGGAGTCGAGGTACCTTTGACTTTCATACCCCGGTCGCCCTCGAGAGGCCTTTGCTCAGACATCGCTGTGAAATGCGTAACCAAGAAACCCCACCATGGTGCTCTTAAAATCTTCTTATCTCGCCTACGTCCTTGCTTGGTATCATCATCCAGATTCATCTTTCTTGTCATGATCGAGCAGAGCGAGACTCAGTTGCTGGTCTATCGCTCCAGTGTTCCGAGGCATCTCCGCAATTGAATTGCGAATCAACCAGTGCTCTCTATCCTGTCACTCGTTTTTCTCGGCGATTTTCATTTCGTCATCCACACTGTTGGGGTTCCGTGGCACTTCACGAAGATGAGTGTTTCCGAAACAGCATCTTCGTCAGCCAGTGCTGTTAGCACGAGCCCTGAAGGGTCGTCTGCGTCGAAGCCCGTCAATGGAGCTACCTGCAATGGTTCCGCAGCACCTGGCAACGGCTCCATCGGGACAGCGAAAGGGAAGAGGAGGAGCAAATATCGCCATGTTGCAGCCTATCATTCGCAGTTGCGGCATTCGAGCCTCAGTCGAGAGTCCAACGTGACTCCAAGCTTTCTTGGATTCCGGAATCTCATGGTGATAGTCTTAGGTAGGTATTCCGTCCGCATCGCTTTTTCACGTGCTTGGTGCTAACATAGCTCTCCGGTGTTTAGTGGCGATGAACCTCCGCCTGATAATTGAGAATTTCATGAAAGTGAGCTTATGTGGTATATTCTGGAAGCAGCGTTCTCTGGTATTCTAACAAATATCTTCTTGCAGTATGGCGTCCTTATCTGTATCAAATGTCACGACTATCGGAAGCAGGATGTCGTTCTCGGGTCGATCCTCTTTGCCCTTGTTCCATGCCATCTCTTCGTTGCGTATATCATTGAACTGGCTGCAGCTCAGCAGTCCAAGCAGACTGTCGGTCGGCAGAAAAAGGATCTATCGGCGGAGGAGAGGGAGCGCGAACAGCAGGCCTTCCGCTCAACTTGGCGGTATACGGCCTTCTTCCATACCCTGAACGCTACACTGTGTCTCGCCGTGACCAGCTTCGTCGTATATTTCTACATCAATCATCCCGGGATCGGTACGATTTGTGAACTCCACGCAATCATTGTGTGGCTCAAAAATTGCTCCTATGCGTTTACGAATCGCGATCTACGGCAGGCAATGCTCAACCCCTCTGTGGAGTCTGCTCTCCCAGAGATCTATTCCACATGCCCATATCCAAGGAATATCACGCTTGGAAATCTTACATACTTTTGGCTAGCCCCTACACTTGTATATCAACCTGTTTATCCTCGAACGTCGCATATTCGATGGTCTTTTGTTGCCAAACGACTTACCGAGTTTTTTGGTTTAGCTGTCTTCATATGGCTCCTCTCCGCTCAGTATGCTGCTCCGGTCCTGCGAAACTCGATTGACAAGATCGCTGTGATGGATATTGCTTCAATCCTGGAGCGCGTCATGAAACTGTCCACAATTTCTCTTATCATTTGGCTCGCCGGGTTCTTTGCGCTTTTCCAGTCGCTGCTGAATGCTTTGGCGGAGGTCATGCGGTTCGGAGATCGTGAGTTCTACACAGATTGGTGGAACAGCCCGAGTCTCGGCGCATACTGGCGGTCATGGAACCGGCCGGTGTACCTCTTCATGAAGAGGCATGTTTTCTCGCCATTGGTCGGAAGGGGCTGGAGCCCTCTTGCGGCGAGTTTTATGGTCTTTTTCCTCTCTGCCGTCCTGCATGAGATGTTGGTGGGAATTCCCACCCATAATTTGATCGGTAAGAACTTGATCCTGTTTGCAAAGGATAAAAATGGGGTCACTGACGGTCATATAGGTGTTGCATTTGCGGGAATGATGTTCCAGCTGCCATTGATTGCTGTGACAGCTCCCTTTGAAAAGGTGAATGATGCATTGGGCAAGATCGTAGGGAACTCGATCTTCTGGGTGAGCTTCTGCCTCGTCGGTCAACCACTGGGTGCACTCTTGTATTTCTTCGCATGGCAGGCGAAGTACGGAAGTGTCAGCAAGATGCGCGTTTAGATTTTGAGCCACCACTATCATATATCTGAGATTAAATAATGGGCCAGTTGCTCGGTTCTCTTCAGATGCTCGATTGAGAAAGTGAGTCAGAAGATACCGCAATATTTAGGCCGTGTTCGGACATTTTTGGATTGTTTGCATATCGAAGCAAATAAAATGGCCCCGACTTGGCTGCAGGGCCTATGCGGCCATTCGGATACGTTGATGCTCCGCATGGACAACAGTTCTCCCGTCTTCCGGGGGGGCCTGACGTCGGGCCAGAACGATATAAAAGGAACAACTGGGACGGATATTTTAGTTTTTCTATAGATTTCAGCGACTCAATCATAGCTACAATAGTACTTTTGTTCCAGTAATAGCAAATTATCATATCATTCATCTCTTCTGTCAACATGGTTGCTATCCTTGTACCAGAAAACTACGGGTATGTACTCTTCCACTGCTGTTGAAATCACAACATTACGGAAAATACGAAGCTGATCGAAATGCCAGTGCCGTCGTCGCTGTCGCCCTGGGAGCTATTCCAGTGCTTGGCTTCATTCATGGCGTCATCGTGACAGGTCTTCGGAAGGACGCCAAGGTCCCCTATCCTCACACCTATGCGACCGTTGAGCAATGCAAGTCAAATGTACGCATACCTTTTAACTTGTTTACGCCGCTCTATAAAGGTTAAGAATGCTGAATCCATGATGCAGGCCAAAGCCGAGCAATTCAACTGCGCCCAGCGAGCCCACGCTAACTTCCTCGAGAATGCGCCTCAAACAATGCTCTTCACCCTCTTCGCGGGTCTGAAATACCCTCACCTGGCAACGGCAATTGGTGCTTCGTGGCTGCTTTTCCGGACGCTCTACCTGTACGGCTATGTGTACTCAGGTAAGGCACAAGGCAAGGGAAGGATGCTGGGAGGTTTCTTCTGGTTGTCTCAAGGCGCTCTGTGGGGTCTGAGTGTGTTTGGTGTTGCGAGGGATATGATTTCTCTCTGAGTTTGGAGTATTCTGCATCTCACAAAATATGTAATATATGTTCGTATGCGTCAAACTCTCATGTGCACACTAGGAATTGACCAACGTGGTATCTTCTACCCCAAACTTCCAGCATCTACGGAGTAGCTTAACTATGGCAGACCCCACAGTCGGAGACGGAGGAATACAGCACCGAAGTGGCTTATGCATGACGGTCTCATCTGGACGGATAGGCGATTTTTACGTGGGAAAAGATCCAGATAGAGTACGACTCTAATTATTGACCCCGAGCGCCTTCCACTTGAAAATAGTTGGGATTTGATTCTCAAGTAATTGGTTGGATTGTGTTAACCTCAATTGGATGACTATCCCATTGCTCAATTTCATCAGCTCATCCATCACCGTCATACCCCGCATATACCCCTCCATCGCCCACGATGTCTTCCAAGTCGCAATTGACTTATGCTGCTCGAGCCAGCAAGCACCTCAATCCTCTGGCAAAGCGACTCTTTGAGATTGCCGAAGCAAAGAAGACGAACGTCACCGTCTCCGCTGATGTGACGACTACCAGAGAGCTCCTGGACCTCGCCGATCGTACGGAAGCCGCTGGCTCCATTACATACACATTGTGTCGAGAAATGAACTAATCCACTTTTGAGGGTACAGGTCTCGGTCCCTACATTGCCGTCATCAAGACACACATCGATATCCTCTCCGATTTCAGCATCGATACTATCAACGGCCTGAATGTGCTGGCTAAGAAGCACAACTTCCTGATCTTCGAGGACCGCAAATTCATCGATATCGGCAATACCGTCCAGAAGCAATACCACGGCGGTGCTCTGAGAATCTCCGAATGGGCCCACATTATCAACTGCAGCGTTCTGCCCGGCGAGGGTATCGTCGAGGCTCTGGCCCAGACCGCATCCGCGCAAGACTTCCCCTACGGTCCTGAGAGAGGACTCTTGATCCTGGCAGAGATGACCTCCAAGGGATCGCTGGCTACTGGCGAATATACCAAGGCGTCAGTTGACTACGCCCGCAAATACAAGAACTTCGTCATGGGATTCGTGTCGACGCGGGCCCTGACGGATGTGCAGTCGGATGTATCTTCGGCCTCGGAGGAGGAAGATTTCGTGGTCTTCACAACGGGTGTGAACCTCTCCTCCAAGGGAGATAAGCTTGGACAGCAATACCAGACTCCTGAATCGGCCATTGGACGAGGCGCTGACTTTATCATCGCCGGTCGAGGGATCTATGCTGCTTCCGACCCTGTTGAGGCCGCGCAGCGGTACCAGAAGGAGGGCTGGGAAGCTTATATGGCCAGAGTGGGGGGCAAGTCATGATTTTCCTTTTGGAGCAAAACTATAGTACCAGTACGACTCATGTGGCAGAAGGCTACGTACAATGTGCCTGCCATGAAATGATGAGCTCCTCCAAATTGACCCTTGTAATGCCATCTTTCCACACCACTAATGGTCAAGATTTTCCAATTGCTAAATTCCTGGCAGCCATCTGGCCAGCGAGATAAGCTTCGCTAGAGACGCCAAGGCTTTATCTGTGTAGCTGATAAGCAAGTGGGCTGATAGCTTAATACAGAAGTGTCCATTTAAGAAGTCAACCAGTGCTGAAGAGATAACAGCTTTGCACCATGCATCGATGGCTCATTTCAGACGGATGAAGTCAAAGTCATTCATCGGACTAGATCTGGTCCGACAATACCTTGGACAGTCCACGCCGCGAAATGATGCCTCTTAATGAGATCCCTCTTGGTTGATCGACAGTCCAGGATTATCTCCGGCCTTGCAGTGTTACAGTGGCGCGCTATGGCTTTCCTGGCCGGTCAAGCTCCGCTCACTTGACAGCGGATACGGAGGGGGTCGATAGGGTATATCTAGACTGGATACTGGAAGTAAGGAGTACTCCAACCAAAGATACGCAGATCATCGCCCCGTCGTGGTTAGTATACCCCAACCTCGTCTGAGTATCCTACTCCTTCCATCCATCTTGATCATGATTTGTCTAAATGCATCTTTAGATTAGGTCGCTTATTCCGATAAATGGACAAGTGCACTCAACACGGTCTGATTGGCTCATCGCGTGTTCTCCTCTGTTCCCTCATTCTCCTCACGTTACATTGACAACGGAATGGCCTGTGTAGCGTGTACTTCTGGTTCTGTCCGATAAGCTTGCTCCGTCGCCTCCACTACGTCAAGTGGAGAATCGGAGCATCAGACACTCGTTCTACCCCAGATATCGCCTGCTTATCGCTGGTCGCTTTGTCATGCTGGTACAGATCACGTCGGCAATGCAGATAACAGATGGTGCTATCGTCGTCCCGACAGATGAGGGGAAGGATATGAATATACCCCAATCTTTCCCTACCTTCTGCTCGCCTTGACTTCGTCTGTCAACTTCTCATTCCCCTTCCCACCTACGACACGCCTCAATTCCAACATGGCCGAGGAAAAGGCACCCCCACCCATCATGGATCCGACGTTGGAGAAGCACGCCCATGATGCGGATGAGGCGATGAAGGCCTTTGAGGATATACAGGGCGAGACTATTACCATCGATGAACAAACGAACAAAAGACTTTTGAAGATTATTGACTGGCATATGATGCCGATTATGTGCTTTGTGTATGGGATGAACTATTTGGATAGTATGGGCCCACCGGTTATTCTCGAACAGCATAGCAAGGACTGACGGCTGCTAGAAACTACCTTGTCGTATGCTAGTGTCATGGGAATCAAGAAAGATATCAATTTGCAGGGCGATGATTATCAATGGTTGGGAAGTCTATTCTACTTTGGTGCGTACAGTCGAATATAGCAGTGATTCGTCTCTGACAATCACAGGCTACTTGGCATGGGAATATCCGACCAATCGACTTCTCCAGCGTCTACCCCTAGGGAAATACTCTGCAGCCTGTATCATCATCTGGGGCACCATCCTGTCCTGCTTCGCTGCTGTCAGCAACTTCTCGGGGGCCATCGCAATTCGGTACGCACAGAGTCATACTCATCACGACAAATGCTGACTGCATAGGTTCTTCCTGGGTGTTTTCGAAGCTTCCGTCACCCCAGGCTTTGCTCTGTTAACTTCTCAGGTAAGACGGTCACTTCCATCCTGCTGAGATAATTCCACTCTAATCTATGCCACAGTGGTACACCAAGCAAGAACAAAGCAGCCGAGTCAATATATGGTTCAGCTTCAACGGCTGGGGCCAGATTCTCGGCGGCTTGGTGGCATACGGCATCGCAGTCGGTACCGCGAAACATGGTTCAGCGATCGAGCCATGGAAGATTGTGTTCCTGATCACGGGGCTGCTCACGGTGGCCTTGGGAGTCATCTTCTTGTGGGCCGTTCCCGACAGTCAGCTCAATGCCCGCTGGCTGAAGAAAGAGGACCGGGTCCTGGCCGTGGCGCGTGTCAAGGTCAATCAGCAAGGTATCGGCAACAAACATTTCAAGCTCTACCAGGTGAAAGAGGCACTCCTGGACCCGATGACCTGGGCTTTCTTCTTTTACGCACTCATTGCAGATATCCCCAACGGCGGAATCACCAACTTCTTCAGTCAACTGGTGAGCGTCGCATCTGGATCCTTCTGGTTCCCCTGCTGACCATCCTTAGATTTCCAGCTTCGGCTACACCGCCGAGCAAAGTCTCTTGTACGGTACCCCCGGCGGCGCCGTCGAGGTGGTCGCACTTCTTGTGAACGGATACGTGGGCCAGATCACCGGGCAGCGCATCCTCTGCAGCACCGGCGGTCTCATCACCTCGATCATCGGGATGGTCCTCATCGTTGCCCTGCCGTTATCGAACAACGTCGGCCGTCTGATCGGCTACTACATGACCCAAGCGAGCCCGACGCCATTCGTGGCACTCTTGTCTCTAGTGTCTTCCAACATCGCAGGTTACACCAAGAAGACAACCGTGGCGGCGATGTACCTGATCGGTTACTGTGCTGGAAACATCATTGGTAAGATCCCTTCGTTCCCACGGCACAAGGATGGAATTAACGCATGGATAGGCCCTCAAGTCTTCCGCCCCAAGGACGCACCCCGATACGTACCCGCTGAGATCACCATTATCGTCTGCTGGGGCGTTTGCCTGCTGCTGCTTGTCTTTATCTGGTGGTGGTACGACAAGGAAAACAAGAGGAAGGCTCTCATCCGGGCGTCGCCGAACTACGTGAGTCTAGAGAATCAAGCGTGAGTCTTCTTTGCCTGTGTCTTCTGGGATGCGTCCACTGACCTTGATCGATTAGGTTCCTTGATTTGACAGACGGAGAGAATCATGACTTTGTTTATGCGTTGTAGTCGTCGGCGTATCGTATATATTCCATAATTATGTCTGCAGGTGCAATACTATGATTTTATATGGCGACAGTGAGTCGCGCTAGGAACAACGATTTACGGCATCAGTCTTTAGTCAGGGTGTGGATTGTAGGTAGTCCCATTATACAAAGCAGTCATACAAAACTGTAGGTTAATATCCACCCACAAACAAAAGGGATCTGCTCATCTTCACGACAACAACACATCACTCATACAAGCTCAAGTCAAGTCCAATCCATCTACTCCTCAAGGTTGTAAACTATCTAGGCACAGCTCCGATGAGCACCTCAACAGCATATATATACAAGAAGTGAACCCATGACATTGGTGTCCTCTATATCAGTAAGTATCAAGCATCTCAAGAGCAACTAATTTGTCAAACAAGCATACCTTCATCCACATACACTATATCAAGTGACGAAGTCCTTCGGACAAGGACGAGGTCGAGGTCGAGGTCGAGTAGAAAGATCCTAGATCATCAGCCACAAACACACACAAAAGACTCGAGACTTACCTGAGGAATAAAAAGGTAAAGAGAGATCGTTATCAGAGCGCACACAACGCATCTGATAACCCAGGCCCGTTCCCAACCACCCAACCAAGGGCCCGTTTATGTTGCTAGAGGCATATCCGGTTTGGCATGCCCTGGTTAGTATTTTTGATGCGACTGGTGTGTACAGCTTGGCGGCTGTGTTTGTTTTTTCTGTCGCTTGTGTTTTTTTTTTTTTTTTTTTGTCCTGTTTTCTTTTGTTTCTGATTGTTGTGTTTGGGTTGGATGGGAAAGTGCAGGGGAGGCAGGTGCTAAGCAGGACGGTGGAAAGGAAAAGGGAGAGGCACTAAATTGGTAGTAGATGGCAAGAAGATGTTGTGAGCAAAGGCAAAGGGGGAAAGCAGTGCAAGGAAGGAAGCAGGCAAGGAAAGAAAGGACGACTCGAGCTTCCACCAGAGGCAGTCGCTCAGAGCCAGAGAGGGAGAGGGAGTTGGAAGAAGAAAGAAGGAAAGAGCAAGGAGGCAGAGGGAAGAAGGGGCTTTTATACCTGAGATTTCCTCGCTAAACAGCTAGCTAGTCTCAAGCGTGATGCAGACGTTGTTCGTCATTCACTGGCATTGACGATGAAGCGTCAAGTGGTTGGAGAGACATTCACAATGACTTTGCCAGGACCCAGTGCCAAAGATGAGCCAATGCTGGACTCTGGTTCAGCAAGACAATAGGCTTTGTTTGCAGCAGCAGGAGAGATACGGTCTTGTTTCCGTGGTTGATGGGTTTCGAGATGACTCTTTGGCTGGCGAAACTTGCGCATGCTGTCTATGTCGTTCCTGTAAAAGTCATGATAGAGCGTCATTATTTGCAATCGACTCGACCACTGTGTTCTATGGCAGCCTACAGCTTGTCGATGCGGCCCCAGATATACTGCAACGAATATTTTAACAAAGCTCGGTGGATGTCATGGCCATAACCAGTCCGTGTATATTTCGAGACACTTAGGAAACGAAACTGGCTAGGTAAAAGAAAAAGACCCTTTTCACTGCTAGAGACAAAGGAAGCATCGACAAAGGGCTTTAACAACCTGGTCGTCGAGAATTGACAATCCATTGTTTTCAAGATTCTTTGTACACGGAACGACTTCATTCAGAGCGATGAACCAGTCCCAAGAGACTTCTGGACAGCTTCCAAGAGGATCATTACTCACTGACGTTGATGGCTCGAATAGCGTACTTGCACTGCCGACTTCAGCCATGTATGAGGATATTTGAGTACCACTTCAGGAGCATATAGTCACAGGAGTATCCAGTTGCTATGCCTGGACACGAAACGACTCGCTCGTGATAGGTAGAGCTCTCCCGGCAGTCGAACGCAGAAAATGGGATTCCTTCGCCAGACTCATTCTACTGGATGTCTCAAGTCCCGAAATTAATATTGAACGCTTTATGCAGCTGTAAGCGTCCTACTATGAGCCACCCAGATATAGAGACCTTGCTTCCAGGAGCCTAAGGCAGTAAGCAATGACTAGCATTAGTGTATGAACACAAGTGTAGGAACAAGTAACCAGAAGATAAGTACGCACATTTCGACTATTTTGACGTCCATTTCTCTGTGGTGGTGCCGGATCTTGGCACTTCACTACCTGGTATAGGCGATTACACATGCTGATTCAGAAAAGGGAGGAATAACACCATTTCCAAACGTCGAATTGAGAGTAAGCAGCGTCAGTGAGCTTCGAGAGAGATGTCTGCTTTATGCACATGGCGCAACCTGCCATGAGAGAACTACGCCCTGTCCTCTGCCACAAGATGACATCGAGCACTGCATCAAGCTGCGCCTGATCATACACTACAAGCATTGCAGCAGGGAAGGACAGAGAGGGACCATTCTCAAACTGAAATGAAATGGCAAATTGCGTTTACTAGCATGGTTCAATGCACATGGAGGAGTTTATTCCGCCTGTCATAGCGCAGCACAAAGCATATTCCGCAACCATGAGTCCACGTGAGTTTTTCCAAGAGCCAACATTGAAATGAATTGGAAGTTTATCAGACATGGACTGGACTGGACTGGACAACCAGCGTCAGTCGGCTGTTGATGCCGGCTACTTTATGACTTTTTTTGATTGACCGCCTTGCAAGAAAATAGAAACGGCGGTGAACTGTGGCAACCAATGGCAGCTGAGAAGAGGGGCAGATGACCCATTGAGCAACCGCGGATGGTGGAAGTCCATGCGCAAAAGTGGGCGCAGTGGGGCAAGTCAGGTGGAGACCAGCAGCATTCTGCCCAAGAAAACTTGTCTCGTATCAGGATTATTGTCGATTGTCCAGGGACAGGGACATCCCTTGCTTTTGCATGGTCATCAAGGATGTCTATTCTTGTACTCTATAGAGGCACTCAAGTTGCAAATGACGCAGTGTAAGATGCTGACACTGCATGAATCAATTTCCCATGTTTCTTTGGTTCCTGAAGATAGCCCTGCAGGAAGTCAGGGACAAAGGATCTAGACTCACCTTAGAGGAAAAAAGGTGGACGGACAACCCCCACAGCTCCCTTTTTGCTCTGAGCCTCTGAGACTTCCTCTTTGAGTCTTTCTGACATGTTCTCGGGCGATTGCGGGGGTTTGTTGCCCTCAGTCTCCATGCCTCATGGTCATAGGGCGTCAACCGGCGTCAATTGTTGCTGCATTCATTTGTCGATAGGTCATTTGAAATGATATCAACTAAAATGGGTCCTCTATTGCCGCTATGGAGATGAGACTAGATACTCACTACGATGATCGCTCTCTGTTGGCACCGTTGGGCGCCTACAGTCGGTGAAGAGGTGAAGAGGATTCTTTCCTAGAAGTATTTAGTTTCCAGTATTGACGGGTTCGTCAGGGAATGGCTCTAACAGACACAAATCTTTCCTTGGTTTCATATTTCTTTCAACATCATTATCATCATCAATAGGACTGTCCCTTTTCTGCATCACAACATTCTTCCAGAGTCATTCTTTACTGTCTTCCCGATCAAGGGGTCATTCATCATGATTTCCATTCAATGATCATCCCGTTGTTTGCCCCTCTCTTCTTTGATCTTCCCCTCCTTGAAACCTAATCTTATCCTGCCGATTGGCTACGTGATGCAAAGAAGGAATTCTGATTCATTCATATAACCTTGCGATCAACACATTCGTCAGCGGCACAGAGACTTGTCTTTTGCCTCTGACTTGTGCCATTTGATGGCAAAGCGCATGTGAATCTTCGCCATCCCCATTTACCTTTGCTCTTCCCACCTGATGTGGCAGCAACTCTAAACATGGCCGCCTCCTTCACATGCCATCGAGCTATGCTGCCCGGCGGCAATCCTCATATAAGCCACACTCATCACGGGAGCCACTCAATCCATGTAGATGAAGCTGCCCTCGCTTCGTCTATCACAACAACTACCTCGACGTCCACAATAAGTTCTCCTACTACCTTCAGTCTCACACCTGGCTATGATCAACCTGCTCCGTATCTGGCAGTCTCAACTGTGCCATCCCTCCATATCACTACAAGAGCTATCTCACCCTGCTTAAGCGATATCTCAGACACCAAGACCTTTTACAGTACCGTAGAGGTCACGGAGATTCCTGCGGATGCATGCGATCCGCCTACACCGTTGGACGTGACTTCGAATGAGTGCTTGGACCAGATGGAAACCAGCTTGAGTCGTCCAGTCAGGCAACCAGATACGGCGGCGGTGACGCCTTCAACCCCTTCCTCGGATAGGCATCGCACGCCCAAAAGGAAACGAACCGTGTCGCCGCCGTCCTCCTCGAAATCTCCTGACCATCATCGCTCCACATCTCGAAGCACTCGCCGCTCCGCCCCTACCAGTCGCCGCAGTTCTTTGCATTCGCACCGACGTGCAGCAACCACTTCTCTTACACCGTCCATCGTTGATCGAAAGGATCCAGTGGCCAAGCGCGAAGACCTTCTGGCCCTCCATCGCGAGTCCTGTCGACTGTTCCAGGCCGACGAGATACAACCATCCTGCTTGCAGGAAAGACGCTCTCCCCCAGCATCCCTTCCTTACATGACATCTTGCGCACACCGAACATCTTCTGAATTCAGTTCACCGCCAGCTTCGCCCATTGTCTACACCCGTCTCTCCGCTGCAGCTCGAGAAAATGGGCCGGACTCCAGCCAGAGCCCCAGCCATCCGACTTATGTACCCACCACCGATTCGAGAGCCGACGGCCCTCCAAAACAGGTGACGGCGACGGTGATCGACTGGACATCACCATCTACTCGCAGGCGAGAATATGAGAAAATCGATCGAGCCAGCACCGGTGTCCGTGGATTCTGGCGACGAGTGGCACCCCGGTGGTGTCAGTTCGGGGACAATCGCATGCCGTTCTTCGAAGAAGGGAAGAACGGTAAGGGCAATTATGAGGGCAGCGTCCGGAGGTTTCGAATGGACTTGCCAGAGGAGCCGGCCGATGCGACGGGGCAGTCGAGATCCCGTCGCGGCCTGAAGTTCAAGCAGAAGTTGATCGTGCATAGATTTGGCGCTCGGCGGAGTACATGTTAGTCTCTGAGCTGCGTCTCGAGCTTTCTTTCCTGTTGCGTCTTGTTTAGCGTGCTGCATGTCGCGGGCGATTGTTGGTGCAGCAATGATACCACGGCGATTGCGCTTGACAACCATTCCATATCAGCCTGCCTGCCTGCCTGGTTCTGTGTTTCTGAAGATTCTTCGTCGACCCAGTTTATACGGGTGTGGACTTGAGATTGTGATACCCTGCCATCATGGCCGTTTTTTATCCTACAGCCTTAGCATATAAAAGCATATTACTACTATGCAATTGAGTCTAATAAATCCGTACTTTTCTAGATCTCAGTAATATACAACACCCAACGCCATGCAAATGCAAATATATGGGTATCGATAGAAGCGTACAGCCATCACCCCCAATCAGCCTCGGCCCAGCCAGCCCAGTCCGCAACTACAACAGATCAAAATCGTCCAGGTTATCGCGGTAGCGCATGATATTGCGCTTGATCTTGCTGCTATCAACCCAGGTGATATGATCCTCCAGGTTGCGCGTAACCAGATAAGCCGGGTCCGTGACGACCTCCGGCCCACAGCGCACATGTCCTTGCTCGATATACGTGACAGCCTGCACAAGTCAGCATCACACCACACCACACCACCTAGTTTTCTCCTCAGCCACAAGAAGAAGAAGGAAGAAAAAAACATACAGCCTTAATCGTCTCCACCATCCCCGTCCGCACCATCACAACCGCCAACCGCCTCCTACAGAACGCCGAAACCGTCACCTCGCGCTCAACCCGCGACAGCCCCGCCCCTTGCTCGCGCGACTGCTTCAGGATCCCCATCCGCCACAGCTTGTCCAGCACCTCCGACTCGATCTTCTTGCGCACGGGGTCGGAGTCCGGGTCCAGCTGGGCGAGCTTGTGGGCGAGCTGGCGGAGGGAGCCCGCCAGCGCGTTGTAGGATTTGTAGTCCGTGTCGTTTTGGAGGTGGTAGCGTTGCCGGATTTGGTGTTCGCGGTGGCCGCCGTCGGATTTGTAGTTTATGAAGTCGACTTTGCGGAGGAGTCTGCGTGTAGGCTAGGTTAGTTGGGGGGTTTGGGGGGATGGGGCTGGGCTGGGCTGGACTGACTTTTTTTCGTGGTATTTGAGTTGGCGGACCATTTTGAAGATTATCAGCTGGTTTTTGGGATTAGAAACGGAGTGGGATCGAGCGGTTGGAGATGGTGAGGATAAAAATTCTTTGGATATAAAGGCGGTGTGCGTTCTGCTGGAGGTTTGTTGCAAACAGTGCAAACTGAACATGTGATTATCACCAGTACTCTGTACTGTATTCTGGTTAACCAGGAGAGGCAATAATCAAATAGGAATTGTCGTTTCAATTTTGAATCAGTTGTGCAAGGTAGATCGAAGTCAAGTCAATTGAGATGCTGGTTGATTTCTTTGACCTAAACCGTCATGGCCTCCGCAACGTATTGCTTTGGAGCAGCCTTTGTTACGGTTTATCGGCTCGTGGGGCCGTGGCATTTGAATACGATGTAGGCCGATTGATGGATAATATCTCATTCTCGTCTAGTCTATCAAAGGGATGTACAGCAAAAGACCGATTATAATTCATCTTTAACCTGTAAAGGCATAGGCCGGCCACTGTCCTTGCCGAGATCGACCCCGTTCTTCTTGCGCCATTTCTCCCACATGGCCCAGAAATCCTTCTCCATCCCGCTCTCCATCTGGTCCGGCAGGATGACGGTGTACTCCACGTACAGATTGCCCGGCTCGGCGTCGTGGTCGTGGTGCTCGTGCAAATGACCCTCGGAGTAGAACGGCATGCCCTCGCCCTTGACCGTCTCCACCGACAGCGGCTGGACGACCTCGCCGCGCTTGCGGCCCAGCTGCACGACATGCCCATCCAGATGCGTGATGTTGCGCGTCCAATCGCCCATCCACGCCTCCCGCAGCGAGAGCGCCTCCCTCCAGAACAGATCCCTGCCCTTGCGGCGGAAGAACGTGCCGTCGGTCCGGCGCTCCTCGTCGGCCGCCAGCTCGGGCTCCTTCTCCTCCAGCACCAGGATCAGATCGCCCGCAACCCAATCGGGGCTCTCGTCGCCCTCGTTCTCAAACACCAGCCGCGTCCCCTTGCCCATGCCCGGCTCCACCGTCGCGGACGTCTCCACCTCCCGCCGCACCACCCGCTGCCCCGCACACACGGGACACGGCTTCTTGATCGTCTTGCCCTGGCCCCGGCACGCGTCGCACGGCATCTGCACCTGCTGGTACATCCCCGGCGCAAGCATGTGCTTCTGGATCACCATCCCCCGCCCACTGCACTTGCCGCACGTCACCACCTGCCGGTCCGCCGACCCCGTCCCCTCGCACGCATCGCAGATCTGCTGCTTCTCAAGCATGAACCGGATCTCCCGCCCCGTGTAGAAATCCCGCAGCGGCAGCCCCACCCGCATCTCCATGTCCGGTCCGCGCCGGTGGCCCGGCGCATGCCCGAAGTGCCCGCCGCCGCCGAAAAACCGCGAGAACAGGTCGAAGGGGTCGTGCGCCGGCCGTCCCGCCGTCCCGCCCTGCCGGTGCTGCTCGATTCCCTCGTGTCCGTACTGGTCGTAGACTTTGCGCGTGGCGGGGGTGGAGAGGACATCGTATGCGTCTGCGATTTCGACGAATTTCTCGCGCGCCGTCTCGTCGCCTCTGTTCGTCGTACTGTAGTTAGCTTTCCATCCCTCATCCTTCATCCCTCATCCCTCTGGCTAGCGCACTCTCGGCGTAGGGCTGTGGCAAATCAAGGGAGACTCACGGGTTCTTATCAGGGTGGAACTTCTTGCTCAGCGTCCGGTACGCGCGCTTGATATCCCGCTCCGAGGCGGAGCGGTCCAACCCCAGGATCTTGTAGTAATCTTCCTTGGCCACCGCCAGAACCAGACATAGTGCGATCGCCAGCAGGACTGTAATCAGACGCATTGTGATGATCGGTAGGCAAGCTGCATCACAGCTTGCGCTGGACAACGTAGCAAGGAAGTGTAAGTGTAGGTTTGTCTCAATTGGTCAACAATGTCTTGAGTCTGAAGTATAGCTTGTGGAGTAACAGAGAATGAACTGTGTCTGTGACTTCGTCTTGAGTGAATGGTCTGGAAGGCTTGAAGGGAAATCTCGAGATCAGCAAAGAACTCAAGATTAGAAGTGGTGCTGGCGCTGATTGTGGTGCGCTGCCCTGAACGGATTGCAGCGGTGTTTGGCCGGCCACTGATAAAGTCCGCATTGATAGGTGGCCGCAACGTGGAGGAAAATGGTTTGTCCGGTCACGTGTTGCCTAATTTATGCCTGGTTATTCAGGCACCCTAGAGTGTAAATGTTCACTGAAAGCATAGAGTGATCAGATGCATTAACTAGATATAACTGTTTGGAGTGTTAAAGGCTGGTGTGGACTATCACATCAAACGAAGGTGATTGCTAGTTGAACAAAGGTGATTAAGTAGCACAATGATTTCATAACTCATACCACAAATTTAACAAACCCCTCAAGTACTTCCCCAAGACCGTCCGACAACATCAAAAACGTCATTCCGCCAAGTCCGTCCAAGACCCTGGCTCTGATCTCCCTCCTCGATGGCCTCCTGAGCCCGTAACCCCTCCTCCCGCCACACTTTCACAATACTTCCAGGCGCATAGACGTCCTTGAAGACACCGCTGCTTGGGGCCTCGACGTCTGACTCTGCCGGCCTCAACCGGGCCAGTACGGCCCGGACAAAGGTCGCCAGGTCTTGCGGATTGGCAATGCGAGCAGCCCGAAGCCGTTCCCGGGCGAATACCAACTCCCGGTTGAGGGCAAAGGCCGCCTGGACAATGGACTCGGCAATCTTCTTCTCCAGCACACGACGCACAAGGTGCTTCAAGAAGGGCTTGGTCAGCCACAGGAGGAATTTCCATTTGCTCTTGTGCACTTTGTAGTCGAGCTTGTGGATGCGAACGCGCACGCCGCGCAGGGTAAAGATCTGCTCCAAGCGCTCCCGGCCCACTTCCACATCGAGCGAGATGTCGATCCCCCGTCTATCGAGGTAGAAGCTGGCAATGCCTTCGTCTTTGATGCGGAACATCGGCCATGCATGAGTGCGGATCCAGTAGCCAAACTCGGATGCACTGATGTTGAGGCCAAAGACCGTCGCAGTAAATGTGGTTTTGAGGTCGGTCTCGGTTCTCTTTGAATGCTTCTTCAGAATGTCAATGTCGTTGCGCGTCGTGACATGCATACGGTAGGGTAGGAACGATGAGAAATTGACGGTATGACCGGGCTCAAGGATCAGGTTCTCGATCAACAGATCCATTTCTGGCGCAGAGAGCTCCAGCCGCGGGATTGGGATATATTGGATATTGCGAATGACCAGAGGAAAGAAAACTTCCGCCATGTCTGATGGCAGCTGGCTTTTTCGATCTTGGTAGCCCCTCCATGCGTCCCTGTAGATCTTGCGAGTCACGTCAACAAGTTTCGAAACTTGAGTATCCTCAGGTACAGTCCGCAGTGTACGCTTCGCCTGAGCTAGGAAGGCGTCCACGTCCCGACGCAAGTTAGATTCGGCGCCAACATTCTTTGACTTCTCCTTCAGTTCATCCACCTTTTTAGGAGCCTCATCAAAGAACTTGGGATCCGTCAGCATTTCCTGGAGCGCGGCTCCAATCTCCGACATGAAATGCTCGAACTCTGGGTCCTTGTTGGCATGCTTGATGACTTCCTTGAATTTCTGCTCCAACTTCTTCCACTCTTCAACATCTCCAAAGGACTGAAGCAGCGTCCAAAACTTCTCCATTGCCTGTTTGAGATCTTCATTGACATCGACCTCTTCCTCGGCCGTGGAGACGACCTCGGAGGCGGCGTTGGCGTACAGCTGCGCATACCGCTGCACCAGCTGTGCCAGTGTTCCAACCGAGTCGGAATAATCCGATCGCTCTCGCAGCTTGATAACGGCCTGCTTGAGCCGATGCAGCAGCGTGTCTCGCTCTTGTCCGGCAAGATGCTCCTTGGCACTGTCAATGGCTTCTCGACCAGTGTCTTTCAGTCCATTTCCCGCAATCTCTGCGACTTGGGTGATTTCCTGGCGGAGTTCCTCCTTTGACACGGCTCGACCCTCATCCGCACCTGCGTGTTGGACTGCACCCGATTCCTCTTGAGATGGCTTGAGCTTTTCTCCAACCTGTCTTGAAGTATCAGACAAGGCGAGCGCTGTGTCAGAGAAGATCTCCCGGCCAACGGTGGTGAGATCCTCGACAAAGAGACGAAAGTCGGCATTGGTGAGGAGAAGGCTTCCCACAGTACGGAGACTATCATATGCTGTTCAATGTTATTGGGGCAATTCCTTCGAAATGAGATCGACGAGTGTCATACCTGCTTTGGTGTCCTGCCGAGCTTTGACGTGAGAAGCACGACGGGCAACCTGAGACGTATCTAACGATGCTCTCGACTTGGAGAGATGCCACAAGAATTCCTGCAGCTGATCATCACCGTTCTTTTCCCGCAGAAATTCAATGAATATTTCAATCCAGAGGCGACAGTCGCGGACTAGCTGGCGGCCGACAGTACCGATGTCTTGGTTGCGAGGGTTGAGGATATCCGAAGCCAGAAGCGTACGTAGATTGGCGATGGTCTGATCGGTGGATGGCATGTAACCCTCGGAAAGGGCGCGGAGCATCTGGTAGCTATGCAATTTCTGATGCAGACGACGCTGGCGTGAGGTATCATCCTCGTAGCGAGGCAGGAGTGGCTCCGTCTCTCCTCCAGGCATGGTGACGGTGATTGTGGTACTGCGCACCCCACAGCTTGGTACTCCGTATAAACTTGGAGCTAGGGATGATAGTATCACCGGGTGGGAAATGAGTGCCTTGCTGATGCTGAATTGATCAAAGAACCGCTTCCGAGTATCGATGAGATGGAGAATGATGTTCCAGCAGCTCAGCTAGGATAAGACAGGCCAAGGTGGTAAGATGTGCATCATCGCAGCAGCTTTACCTGATCTGCTGTCAATCATGGGCAGCTCCTCTCACTCTTGCGTCACTCCACCTTGGCGTCTTATCGCAGTCAGGTGATCTTATCGCATGTTTCAGAGGACTCCATCCACAATTGGATGAAAACACCTCATATTTGTTGATATAAATGATCCATTTTATCTTCTGCCTCATTAAGACTAGACGACTGACAGTCATTTATGTCTAGTCTATTTCAATCCCCAATGCCAAGTGTCAATACAGGTAGAGAGTTGGAGATGTCCTCATCTATCAACAATGCTTATCGATAAAGTTATCCTCGGTCTAGAACAGTGCGGAGAATCTTTTCTGTGGAGAGGTTTAGGTCTACCTACGGCGATTTAACGAATTGAGTCAGATCGAGTCGTACGAGACCTTGTATCATGATATTGATGCCGACTCAAGAGCGATCTCACAACTCGGAATCAATTATTTGCTTCCATCATGTTCATTAGACGACGTCCATTCCATTCAATGAGAGAAAATCGCAGCTAAGGATCAATGTTTCCAAATCAAAGTAGAAAAAGGCGGGACCTCAGTCATCTACAGTCATCCTAGTAGGCACAACATAGTCTGGGGAAAAGAGAGAGTCTCGTCTCAAGTCTCCACAGACTCAGCCACCAGTCTTTGATAGCTGAGTCTGGGGTAACCTTCTTTCCTATCCAGACCTTGCAGTAGCTCAGAACGGATTGCTCCATATTTCGTACCTTATTCGGGTATTAGATACATCTGAGCTCAAGTCCGAGTCTCTCCGTAGTCTGCACGATGGCGACGCACATTTTGCTGAATGTTGTGTTACTGACGGGAGTGTAACCTCAGCCTCGTAGTAGGTAACGGAGCAAGGTGGCTGGCATGATAGCATCAGTTGTTGGGATTGCAATCTCAACCGGGCTGAGGAGAAATTCAACGGTCTCTGGTGTACGATGTATATATGATCACAATTCCGTACATCTCACGGAGGACCTGTAAGGACCTAATTACAGGCAAAGGCCCAATAGCAGATCGAGGAATGATCATTGCCACTACTGGTTGATCAAGCTTTATGATTCATGCGATTGAATCTGGGGATATCCTTGTGGAGCACTCCTCGCCTCTGTGTCGGATTCCGAATCATCGATCTATCATCTTTCTGCAAGGAGTTGATGAGCGATTTTCCGTCACTTAAATCACTCATGAAATGACTGAGGTGTCTCATATCCATCATTAAGTCAGTATATGCATTTGAGATACGTTCGATCCTTTTCGGCATTGAAGTTTTGATATTACTCCATACTCCATACTCCATACTCAGAGTACAGAAGTACCTGTGGCTGGTGAGGGCAAGTAAACAAAGCACTGCCACCAGGATCTAAATCTGGATCGCCTCTGCATTAGTAATGAGAGCCAAGCTGAAAGAAGTCAGGAACCTTTCCGTTGGGGTCACCCTGCGTTGGCCAATCATAACCGCTGTAGCCTGTAGGAGTGTGGCTTCTTCCGGTTGCCCCATCGGCCGGCCCCGGTCGGTGGGTGGCGCTATTCCCCTTGGGGTAATTCTCAATCGAAGTTCTGACGCCCATCGGAATGAAGTTGGGGTCAGCAGTTTTCGTCCAAAAATCGCTCATTGATGGTAGGTAGTACTAGATTGTCATGTCTGAGTAGCACAACCACCACATTGATGACGATGACCGCCATTCTGCATGCAGGATTCAAGCATTTGGGTCTATACAACGTAACAGGGTCATCTCCATGTTGATTCTCATGTATCAAATCCGAGAAATGGATGGATCCATTCGAAAAGTCGAATTACTAAATCTAGACTGCCCGATGACTAAAGCGAGCGAGCTCGGCCGTACTCCGGGCGCCGGGCCGCGTCGACTGCGGGGAGTTACCTAGGCAAGCAGGAAACAATATCTACCTAGTGATAAGTCCAGAACTTTTCCTCAGGCAGTTAGGCAGAGAGCTCTACTATTAGGCTAATAATTACTGCCACATGAGCTCGTCGGCTCCACCAGACCCTGTGGTCGAGTCGGGTCCAGTGGACAGTTGCCCAACTTAGACTCATGTGTACACTGTAGTTTGAGTACTTGTGCGAAAAAATGGCTCATCCGTTGCAAAAAGCTCCACTGCCTTGAATCTCGGCATGCCATGTCGGATACCGATCTTTCGGATCGACCTCCAGCATGAGTACGTATCTAGGAAGTGATAGTTATGTACTCTAGGTTGTGCTCATGTACGAGAAGAATGAACATCAGAATCCGAGTTATTATTCTACTTGAATTCAATTGTAGCAAGGATTGACGTTGATAGCTGGTTGTAAACCTAGACTGCTTTATGCGGAGAAGTCAATGAAATCCCCTCATGGAGTATTCGCTTACGCTCAACTAATAGATGGGATTATTCATGAATATGTTTCTACTGACGACATCGAAAGGAGCGAGTGTATCAGTTGCCTTAGTTTCAACGATCGAATCCCAACATTATAGGATCATTCAGTCCAGACCTTGCATGTCAAAAATAGCCAATGTACCCAAGTCTACTTCGTACATTGAGTCATATGTAGCGCTTTACATGTAAACTTTGTACAACAAAAGCAAACTCTGTCTGTCCTCGCCTGGACTCTGTAATGCGATAGATTCCTTCAATGATTCAACATTGATCATCATCCTCATTCCCATTATTAATTGGCCTCTCTTTGTTCCTTCGCTTTCTCCGCATTTGTCGCAATTCGGAGGCACTTCCCGTTCTCCACTTCCGTTCAATTTTCTGTAACCCCCAATCCAATTCAATCCAATCATCCAAAAGCTTCGTATCCTCAATTCATGCCCACTTGCGAATTCAATTGAAACGGTTCGCTGCCATGCAAACCGCCTTCCCCCCGAATATCCACCATTGCGATCCCGACCTCCCTGAGTGGTCCCTCGTCCCCGAATCTTCCCGACTGCTCAGTGAAGGAGTCATCGACTAATCACCACTCGCGCTCTGTTTCATAGTCCTCAAAACCTCCTTGTTGGAGATCTCCTCCTAGGTATTTTTACTCCGAGTCCATAGGTACTACTGCGATCAACGGGTGCTTGTGTCTTGACTTCGGAATGTTGTGGATGCCTCCTCAGGGGTCTTCAATGCTAGTGCGCACACATAAAAACAGACTGGCACCTGTGGCCATCTCGTCTCGGTCTTCTTCATTTTTGTTTTCATCTTCACCTCTCCGCTCTTCTGCCTCTGTCGTCGCCATTGCTACTCGCCATAGAAGCAGTCTTGCCTCGTCTCAGCGTTCCACAATGGCTCGATTTCCCGCCCATCAGAACCGGCCGGTCCATGCGACCCCGACCCCATACGTGAACCATGCCGCTCCTATGTAAGACTTTCGATCAGATAGATACAAGCTATCTGGAAGGTATTGATGCTAATTGACTCATTGTTGCTGGTTTAGTGACCCAAATTACGATACTGCCAACCCTGCGTACATTCGCAAATATCTCCGCACCTACGGACTGACTCCCCCGCGCGCGGAGTCATATGAAGTTCAGAAGACACGGTGTATGTCCACACAACACAAACGTACTGGCGTCTGCTGGCGGGATCTAAATTGAATATAGGCCTCGCACAATTGGCCCTCAAGCAGACCGCCATTGATAAATTCCTCTACCTCAGCACCCTCCGCAAAAACAATGTCCACCTCTTTTATCGTCTGATCACAGATCATCTCAAGGTATGAGAAACAGAATCCAGTCACAGGACTTTGCAGCGATACGACAGAAAGGCCTAACGTTGACAGGAATTGACACCTTTGATTTACACACCTGTTGTTGGAGAAGCATGCCAAAAATGGTCGGAAATCTACCAGCAGCCAGAGGGTGAGTCCAGACCTTTGTCTAAATTTGCTGCTGATGAATCGAATCCGACGCTAACGACTGTTCGCCTGCCTAGGCATGTATCTGAGCTGGGAGGACCGCGGCAATCTGGCCGCTGTCATCGCCAACTGGCCGCAGCCCAACGTGGAGATCACGTGCATTACCGATGGGTCCCGAATTCTCGGACTGGGAGATCTTGGCATCAACGGAATGGGCATTCCTATTGGTAAACTGGCGCTGTATACTGCATGTGCGGGGATCCGTCCCGAGGCCACCCTGCCCTTGACCCTGGATCTGGGGACAAGCAACAAGGCTCTCCGGGAAGATCCGCTGTACATGGGCACTCGCCGTGACAAGATCGCCCCTGAGGAGGAACGGGAATTCATGGATGAGTTGATGGCGGCTTTGACCGAGCGCTGGCCTGGGTATGTGACTCACCTCCCAACATCTTCCGATGGCACCGGACGCTAACGGGTAAAAAGTATCGTCATTCAGTTTGAGGACTTCAAGAATCCCTTCCCCGCTTTGGAGCGGTATCGTGACATCTACACTTGCTTCAACGATGACATCCAGGGTACAGGTGCTGTCATCCTCGGCGGTGTCATCAACGCCGTGAAGCGTTCGGGACTGCCATGCAAGGAGCACCGCGCCGTCTTCCTTGGTGCTGGAAGTGCCGGTGTCGGTGTGGCTAAGCAGATTGTTGCATTCTTCATGCGCGAGGGCATGACGGAAGACGAGGCCCGCTCCTGCTTCTACCTGGTCGACACCAAGGGTCTTGTCACCGCTGATCGGGGTGACAAGCTCGCCGATCACAAGGTCTACTTTGCTCGTACGGACAATAACGGCGAGCAGTTCAAGACCCTCGACGAGGTGGTCGATCATGTGAAGCCGACCATCCTCATGGGTCTGTCGACCCTCGGCGGCGTCTTCACCCCGGAGATCCTGCGCAAGATGGCCGACTGGAACACCCACCCCATCATCTTCCCCCTGTCCAACCCTTCCTCCAAGTCAGAATGTGACTACGAAAGCGCCATCACCCACACCGATGGCCGTGCCCTCTTCGCCTCCGGTTCCCCCTTCCAGCCTTTCTCCTTCAAGAACTCCTCGGGAGAGACCCACACCTACTACCCCGGCCAGGGCAACAACATGTATGTCTTCCCCGGTATCGGTCTGGGAACTATCCTCTCCAAGGCGGTCAAGGTGACCGATGAGATGATCTACGCCTCCGGTGCAGCTCTGTCACAGGCCCTGACCGCCGAGGAAATCGACCGCGGTCTCCTCTACCCCGACTTGACCCGCATCCGTCAAGTCAGCATCGTCGTGGCCCGCAGGGTCATCCGCGCCGCACAAGAAGCCGACGTGGACCGCGAGACTTCTCTGCGCACCATGAACGACGAGAACCTCGATGCATGGATCAAGGCTCGCATGTACGACCCTCACAGCGAAGTCCACGCCTTGGAGAGGGAGGTCGGCGCTCTCCTCTCGAATCTCGGGCCTGCCTCTCCTGCCTTGAATGGCTATGGTGAGGATCAAGGGAAGGATGCGAAGCTGTAGTCTCATTTTCTTCTTTCTTTATTTCTTGTCAAGCCTGCATGGTATTTTAATACTTGCCGCTGCTTGACTTTGTGAGATTCATGTTTTGGTTCTTTTCGGTTACTTTCCTGGTCGTCCCAGGTTGTTGAGCGCTTTGGTTTTTGCTTCGACCCTTGCATTGAAGGATGCCCCTGTGTTCCTGTATACCCTTTGCATATCGCTTATAATGACTTGCTTTTGTACCATGTTTGTTGGGTTTGGGATTAGTTTCGGTACCGGTATCTATGCCAAAAGTTGATGAGTTCAATCATGTCTCACATTTTACTGTCTTCGAATAGAGGGAATATTGTATCCACGGCTATCTTCATCAGTACCTACGGAGTAACATCTAGCATCTTCATCTCGGTAGAGTGGATCATGTGGGAGACACGGAGAGATTCATAGCCCGAAGGTGTAATTAATCAGCATCACTAAATCGTCCATCGCGATAATCCCGCGCGATGATTGGTCTTGGAAACAAGAAGATTATTAACCTTAAGGACTAAGATGCGGATCCAGGGACTGACTGTGGCTACTGGCTAGTGGCTAGTATCTACTTTGCTCAAGAATTCGCAACTTTTGTCTGGTTGGGAATAGACTCGACTCGACCTCGGCCGTGCTTCTATCCGGCTGCCGAGCCGTTCATCTACGGAGTATTTCCTGGTATATAGTTCAGGAAAAGCCTCCCGTTGACATGGAATTCTTTCGCTTTCTCATCTGCCAGGGACATTGTATCTTGCACTAATCCGGATCGATCACCATGTCTTCGTCTCTGGGTGATGCTGTCAAGCTTCCATGCGGGCTGGTCTTCCCCAACCGCCTCGTCAAGGCAAGTCATTTCGATGATAAGGGCCAGGGAAAACGACTGACCAGTCCAGGCGGCAATGGCCGAGCTGATGGCCGGATCAGAACATACGCCTACACCCCAACTAACGGAAGTGTACAACCAATGGGGCAAAGGAGGATGGGGCGCCGTTCTCACGGGTACCTAGCCACATCGATTCCCTTTTGCTTCAAGGACACCCGCTAAGCATTCGATACTACTGACCAGGCAACGTTCAAGTCGACGTCAACCACCTGGGCAGTCCCTTCGACCCCGCCCTGCCAGCCGAGTACACAGGCAAAGAGTCCAACCCCGCGCTCGTCCAGACATGGGCCAAATACGCCGACGCCTGCCAGCAGCACGGCGTCCCCTCCATCGTGCAGATCTGCCACCCGGGCCGGCAGTCGTTCCGCATCGCAGGCAAACGCGGTCTCTTTGCGCCGACGATTGCGCCGAGCGCGATCCCCCTGCAGATGGGGGAGGGGCTGCTGGACCGGATTATCAGCCGGCTGGCGTTCCCTGCGCCGAGGGAGATGACGCAGCAGGATATCGATACCGTGACGAGGCAGTTTGTCGATACGGCGCGGTTGATGGCGGACGCTGGGTTCTCGGGGATCGAGCTGCATGGTGCGCATGGGTATCTGATTGGTATGTTTCTTTCTAGTCTCGGTAGGTGAGGGGTTCGTACTGATTGTAGTAGACCAGTTCTTGAATCCAAAGGTATGCTTGCTCTTCTGACTCCGCGATAACCAACCTAACCGGATAGACGAACCTACGAACCGACGCATACGGCGGCTCCGCAGAGAAGCGCGCCAAGTTCGTCCTCGATATCCTCTCCCAAACCCGCAAAGTCGTCCCCGCAACCTTCTGCATCGGCATCAAATTCAACTCCGCAGACCACTCCTCCGCCTCCTTCGAAGACACCATGACCCAGATCGCCCTCCTCGTCGACGCAGGCATCGACTTCCTCGAAGTAAGCGGCGGCTCATACGAGGATCCCAGGGTACGCTGCCCCCTCCCCCTTTTCCCCCGGAGTCACCGCAAGCAAAACGCACCCCTAACCGAGATACCAGATGATGGGCGCCAAATCCCACCCCGAGAAAAGCCAGCGCACCCTCGCCCGCGAAGCCTTCTTCCTCGAATTCGCCCGCGAAACCCGCAAGCGCTTCCCGACCCTCGTCCTCATGCTCACGGGCGGATTCCGCACGCGCACCGGCGCAGAGTACGCCCTGCAGGAGAACGCATGCGATCTGGTCGGCATCGGCCGCCCCGCGGCTGTTGACACTGCTTTTGCGCGATTGCTGCTGGACGAGAGTGTGCCTGCGGAAGAGGCCAAGTTGCCCTTGAACAAGGTCAAGCCGCCGTTTCTGCTGAGTCTGCTTCCGATTAAGGCGGTCGGGGCGGGGCTGGAGAGCGTAAGTTTATTTCCCTCTTTCTGTCTGGGTGCTGATGATGCTAATGCGTTGGGGGTTTAGTCGTACTATGCGGGTCAGATCAAGCGGATAGGGAATGGGCTGAAGACGTTTGCGCCGTCTTTGTGATGAGATGTAGATGTATATGTATACGTATATACCCGGACTGCTTTGCTTGGTTTTTGTCTTACTGGATGCTATCATAGAGGACTACTCGTGTCGAATGCTACTTCTATCCAATCATTCGATCACAACGGGCTGGCTGGTCGCATGTCAATGGTTACCAGAATCATAAATCATGCAATGAAATGCCTCTGCCTCTGCAGTAATGCATAATTCCCACTTCTATTGTCCAACTACCAGTAGGTTTGATAAGATCTAAAAACGTGAAAGTGAAGTCAACGTATCGATGACGTTGATCTTGAACGGGGCGGACAACCTCACATCACATCCTGTTTTGGGGCTGCGACTGGCAAGATGATTGCATCAATTGTTACGTTATGCTTTGTTATTTGTACATATAAGACATGGTCCTGTATAGCTTTCTCTAGGTCGCAATAGAAGGATAGATCCTATTAGCAAAATGACGGGTAAAAAGCACAGGGTTACGGTGATCGGGTCGGGAAATTGGTATAGTTATAGTTCATTTTCTACACCGTAATTTGATGATGCTTTATGATTATGATGACTGATGGAGGCTGGACAGGGGATCGACGATCGCCAAAATCCTCGCCGAAAACACTCGCGAGCATCCCGATGTCTTCGAAGAAAGGGTGCAGATGTGGGTGTTCGAGGAGGACGTGACCGTGCCGGAAGACTCGCCGCACCGCGAGGCCCTCGGCGACAAGCCGCACAGGCTGACCGAGGTCATCAACCGCGTCCACGAGAACGTCAAGTACCTCCCCGGCATCGCGCTGCCGGACACCGTGGTCGCCAACCCGGACCTGCGCGATGCCGTCCAGGACGCCACGCTCCTCGTCTTCAACCTCCCGCACCAGTTCATCGATAAGACGCTCGAGCAGATGAAGGGCCACCACCTCCCCTATGCGCGCGCCGTCTCGTGCGTCAAGGGCGTCGAGGTCGCCAACGGGCGGGTCACGCTCTTCTCCGAGCTCATCATGGAGAAGCTGGGCATCTACTGCGGGTCGTTGTCCGGCGCCAACATCGCCCCGGAGGTCGCCGCCGAGGAGTTCTGCGAGACCACCATCGGCTACGACCCGCCGCCCATGGACCTCGACGCGAAGCAGGAGTTCTCCCCGGATAACCGCCACGTGATCAACAAGCAGCGCCAGCGCAAGATCTCCTCCACCTCCGCTGAGCTCCAGCGCGTGCCGGACGAGTACCCCGTTGTCGACGAGAAGCTGCTCCACCGCCTCTTCGAGCGCCCGTACTTCCATGTGCATGTCGTCGCCGACGTGGCGGGTGTGGCGCTGTGCGGCGCGCTGAAGAACATCGTCGCGCTGGCCGCCGGCTTCGTTGCGGGCAAGAAATGGGGGGAGAATTCCAAGGCGGCCATCATCCGGATCGGGATGATGGAGATGATCCGGTTCGGGCGCATCTGGTTCCCCGAGTCGGTGAACGAGAAGACCTTTACCGAGGAGAGCGCGGGCGTCGCGGATCTGTTCGCCTCTTTGCGGGTCGCAATTTCCGGTCCGCGAAGCATTCCGTTGAGAAGGGGGTGAGCGTCGATGAGATCGAACAGTCGGAGCTGAATGGGCAGAAACTGCAGGGGACGTCGACTGCTCGCGCCGTGTGCGATTTTCTGTCGACGCATGGCAAGTTGGACGACTTTCCGTTGTTCGATGCGGTCAATCGTAAGTTTCCATACAACGGTGTTGGTTTCGCGATAGTGTTGCTGACGAGGAATAGGCATACTCGATGGTAAAGTCAGTGTCGATGAGCTGCCAAAGTTGTTGAAGTAATCTGGATATATGCCGTAATGACCATCGTTAATGAAGCCTATCTTCAAGAGTGCCATCGCGCGCGCAGTTATTGAGTGTAGGAATCGAACCTATATAGCTATTACCGTTTAAAGTGCAATATAATCGTTCAACCGGCGATTGCAGTAGGCGATCCTGCTGATCATGCTGTATCCTTATCTTGGTGAAGAAGCCTTCAGGATAGCGTGATTTAAGCTTCATGTATTGCCTTAAGCCACTCCAGATTCCCCCACGCTTGTTAGGAGTCCACATATCTCCAGGATCTCGGAATTAGGGAGCGATTACCGGAGTTGACGCCTGCATCTGAGAGAAACTAAAGAGGATCAAATGGCATGATATCATCACCTCCCCAGAGGTTCCCTGACAGCCCCTCCAGCATCTCAAAGTCCGGCATCCAGAACGGACAATCCTCCTCAAGATCGATCAAAGGAGCAAGCTGGAATGCCATCCGTACTCCATGATCGTGAGCAGGCGGGTTCGTCGGCCCCGCTGAGTTGGGATCACATGCGAGGCCCGACGAACCGCCGCCCCCGGGGTGGTCCTTGAACGGGCCAGGCGTGGTACTTTGGAGGTTGGGGTTTGCACCACTATGCTGCGCGGTCATCAGCTCGGCCATGCCGACTTTCTTGGCCGCCTCGCTGTTGCCCTCGAGTTTCTCCATGGCGGCGTTGACGAGCATCTCGAACGCGTCGCGGTACTTCTTCACCCACGTCGCTCGTTCGCCCATGACGAAGAGGACGGTCGAGCAGGCGCGGATGTCGTTGCTCATTTGCACGGACCACACTTGGTCCGTGTGCGTCCACAGGGCGTACAGCAGAGTGATGCCGGCCATGAAGACCGTCTGGACGGCGAGGAAGGAATGGCCGTACTCGAGCGTCTGGTGAAGCCGCTTGTGTGTCTGGCAGATATCACCAGCTGCACGGAGGCAGATGTGGTAGTAAGGGTCCGAGAGGGGCAGGGAGGGCAGGAATGGCTGTATGAGGAGTCGAAGAGCTCGGTTGTAGTGCAGCATGGGATAGTCCAGATCGGAGCCGCTGAAACGCAGCAAGGCAGATCTCTTCCACTCTTCGAGCTCGATGAAGAGACGGTCCATCTTGGAGCGGAGCGTGTGTAGTGGCCTGTCCGCGCGATAGATCTTGTGCTGGATTCTCGAGTCAATCCGACGCAGCTCGAACAAGTAGATCGCGAACGTCAGGGACGTTATGCGGTCGGTCCGGGGAGAGGCTGTTAGTATAGCGGGGTCTTGGACGTCGTCATCCACGTCCACCGGCAAGGGCAGGTCAATGTGACGGTCTGCGATGCTAAAGGGTCGACCAAGAGACATCGAGATGACCCTCTCTAGATAGTAGACTGTCCAGAAAAGTCGTCGTCGCATCTGCGCGGTCCATGGATCCAGATTGATCTCATTCGCTTTCCGGTGCAGACCGAGGTCAATAGCGGTGCGCATGGCGAGCCCGACTATATACCAAAGGCCATGGCTCGATGCTGAGCGAAGGTGATATACCACCAGAAGAGTCATTGCCTCTATGTTCTCGATAGATCGTATTTCACACATAGAAGGAACCTGTTGTAGAGCAGTGATGTAGTATCGCTAAGCAAGGTCAGAGCTCTAGACCTGGTAGGAAGAACAGAAGCTGTCATACCTCTGGAGACACGTATGTGTATTTTTCGCTGAGCTGAATCGTCGTAGCCCCGATCGCGTACACTAGGTACAGCTTAAACAGACCAAACCTCTCTGTCTTGGTGAGCTCTTCCCGTTTGGCTTTGGCCAACCGCCATCGAGCTCCATGGAGCTTCCACAGCTCCGCGCGATCAAGGAACGGGTAGCGCACATGCAGCCTGGTCAGGTACGCATGTAAAATCCGCGTTCCCATCTCATCATTCGGCGGGTCGGTACTTTTGACCAGCAGCTCCTCCATCCGTGGCGGTCGTGGCTGGTCATGGACATTCTGACTCCCACTGGACGGTTGAGGAGGCAGACCTGTAGAGGCAACACCGTGACCACCGGTAGACCCGCCGCTACCCCGTGGAGAGGCCTGGTGGCTATGAGATGGCGCGAGAACTTGATTCCAAACCGTTGCTTGAACCATTTCGCTGAGGTTGGCGGCCAGCGAGAGCCCGGAGCTTGAGCCTACATAGGCGGGGGCTTCTGCGGAGTTGAGGGCGAGGAAGCCAACAAGCTCCCCAACAGTGTTATTGTTCAAGCTTGAACTAGACGCAGACTGGGTGGTCTCATGGCTCTGAGGAGACAAAAGTGCCGCAACTGGATGACCGACGTTGCTGCTGGCATTATTGCTTAGTGGTCTCGTTTCCAACTTGGATTCAAGATAAGCAATGCGTTCTTCCAGCGCGCGGGTATAGCTTTATGAAATCAGTGCTCCGAACAAATACCATGAGAAAGAGTGAAGAAGAAGGTCCCGCCTAGTACTCATCAGAATAAGAGGACTCACTCGTTCGATTGACCGCTCTCCTGTCGAAGAATCGTCGATTTATCACACGGAGCTCCAGCTTTGCGGCAGTTGGAGCAGGCCGGATAATCATTATCGCACTATAACGCTCAGCTCTGAGATGGACCAAAACCTCTGGCAGACAACAACTGACCTTTTGCTTCCTGGTTTTGCAGCGCGTACATGACGTTCTTACGCGCTTTCGAGGATTGTGATCTTTTGAAGGGAAAGGCACTTGCTCAGGGATATCCATCTTGACAAACAATACAGACAGACATCTTCTCTGTTGCTGATTGAGTAGCACCGCTGGTGTAAGATCGTCGCCAAGCTGACGAAGCCATCCAAAGATGATGCCAAGACGCGGTAGTTGGCCCACCTATTTTGGAATACGTATGCCCATTCTCTTGATTGACAAAATGCCTTGCTTGGAGACGATAGTTGTTACGCTTATCAATTGTGGAATAATATACGGCAGTGATCGCAAATAATGAGAGATCATTTACGTCAGACTATTTACATTTACGGCTAAATATGGTATCTATTCACCAATTTCAACAAACGCCGCTGATACTACTACCAAGAACTATTGAAGATGAGGTTAGAAAGCCATCCGAAGATCACTGCGCTGTATGATGTGGCTCTTGAGTATTTCCATCACAGCCATGCCGGCCTATCAGCTCTTGCTGCCCATGCGCTTCATGATTTTGGGTCTTGTTAGATTTCTCAGAAGGCTCAGTCGGAGGTGCTTCTTCATCTGACTTCTGTTGTGCAGCGTTTCGTTCTTCCTCTTCCTCCCCTGGTTCCTTTGGCCGTTCGAGGCCTCGATCGCGGATGAAGAGACAAGCAACGAAACACAATCCAATAAGAGGCACTTGTAGGATGAAGACGCCCCTTGAGGCCTTTGCATACGCGTTGAGGATTTGTGACCAATCAGAAGCGGATATGTCCGACGGCGAAGGAAGAGAGTACGACGAGTGAGCTAGGTACTGATATCCATTGGGTAGGTTTGATCGGAGTGTTGCTTGCAAGATAGCAGCGGAGACCGCCAGTCCACAAGCACCTCCGAGACAACGGAAGAAATTGCGATCTGAGATTACCACCGCTCGGTGAGACTTAGTACAATGAGCTTGAAAAGCGATCAGAGTTGGCTGGAAGGTCCATCCGATACCGATACCGGCAATACCGACAATGACAGCGATCACTGCGGGATGCGTGTGACGATTGAAAAGCAGCATCAGACCAGCGCCCCTAAATAATTCAAGCCGACGGTTTAGAATCCACGCGTTGAGACAAAAGTTCTCTATTCTCGAGGAATACTCACAGAGTCCAGAGGCCAAAACCAGCCCATATCACCTCTCCGTAACGTTTGGTTCGAGAAATATATTGACCGGATGCAATGGAGGCAAGAGCCTGGCAACCAACCATGGGAGCAGTCAAAGCCGCAGAAACTATTGGAGACCACCCTCGTGCGTTTTGATAGTACAGTGGCAGATAGTAGAGGTACGATTGATACACAGCGCCGAGGAGAAAGCTCTGTAAGAACAAAGCACACAAAACTTTGTTCTTGAAGAATACCACTGTCCATACGTCAGCTCCTCTTGAATTCACAAATGACACGAGTCGTAACGCACCTGGAAGCATTGGCAGGGAGGCCACTTTCCACTCGATGAAGATGAACGCAACCAATGAGCACGCTCCAATAACAAGCATACTGATCACCATTGCAGAATCCCACTGAAAGTAGGAGCCACCACCCGATATGGGTATAAGCAGGAAGATGATCCCAATGGATGAGGCAATGATGCCGTAGAAGTCGATCTTGCTCAGGTTCTTCCGGACACCATCCTTACGGGCGTTATTTGGGATCAGGAAAAAGCCAACGACGACGGAGCATGCTGCGAGCGGGGATATGAGCCAAAAGAACCCTCGCCAGGTGGATTTCATGATGAAAGCTGCCGCAATAAAGGGGCCGATCACATTGCCCAGTCCCAGAGATGCTCCTAGAATCCCTTGGTACTTTCCCCGGTCTTCAAGGGTCACAATATCAGACACGATAATCATGGTCAGCGAAGTGACGCCACCTCCTGCAACACCGGCAAGACCTCGAAAGACGTAAAACATTGCTGCATTCTGCGAGAGGCCACAGAGCAAATCGGCGACGCACAGCAGAGCAAGTGCTGATAAGTACACAATCTTCCGTCCAAAGATATCAGAGAGACGTCCGTAAAGCACAGTGAACATGGTGTTTGCGATCAGCGACGAGGTACCCGCCCAGGAAATGGTATTTTCCGCATCGAGGTCTCTGGCAATCGTGGGAAGAGTAACACTGATGCCATTTTGATCCACAAACGTGATAAGGAGAGAGACAGCAAGACCCGAGAAAACTATCAGCAACTGTACAATTGGTAGAATGTTCATCTGGTCATGCAAGGCCTTTTCGGCGGCCTGTTGCCGATTCATGTTTGTGCGCTTCTGGGGTCTAGCTCGTATCGACAGTTGAACATGGGCAAGGTACCCAGACCATAAGCTGCCTCT